CGTCTTTGTCTATAGTATATAGTGTGCGTATTATAAAATTCACCCATTCAAAAGTGAGCCATTCAATACCATTCATGCTTTTGAGTTTATTCACACAGTTCCACAGCCATCATCACATCTAAGTTTAGAACATTTTCACTGCCCCCCCAAGAAACGCCATTCCTCCTTCTCCACAGCACCTAGCAACTACTATCTGCTTTCTGTCTCTGCTACAAACATTCCATATAAATTGAATCACACAAACCCTTTTGTGTCTGGCTTCTTCATTCCTTTATAGGGCAATATAATATTCCATTGTATGGATATACCACATTTTGTTTATCTGTTCATCAGCTGATGGACATTTGGGCTGTTCCCAATTCTCAGTTATTATAAATAATGCTGCTATGAACATAGTGTGCAAATTTTTCTGGGAACATGTGTTTTCATTTGCCTTGGATAGATACCCAGGAGTTGCAATCTTGGGTCATGTATGTGGTAGTTCAATGTCTAAAGTTTCCCAGTATTTTTCTAGCAGGGCTTTGGATGTGCTGCAGGCTAGGGGTCTCCTATCCTCCTTTTCCCCACTTGGGAGTTGACGTGGCACTTTTCCTTCTTTCTCTGCACAGGTGATGTTGGGAGTGAGAAGAGCCTTGAGCCTAGACTGTCACACTGGGTGCCTGAGGCCCAGCTCCTGGAGTGGGCCTGTCACTGGGAGAGACAGGGTTACCTCCAGTATTCATTTGCCACTGCTGCCATATCAAAGTGCCACCAACTGAGCAGCTTAAAGCAACAACCATTTAGCTTTGCAGTTCTGTGCACTGAAAGTCTGGGCAGAGGGTGCCTCAACTGTATATTCTGCTCCGAGTCTCACAAGAGCAAAGTCGAGGTGTTGACAGGCTGGGCTCTTTCCTGCTCATTAGGAAGATAGGCAGAACTCAGTCACTTATGATTGCAGGCCTGGGGTCTCCATTTCTTTGCCACGAGCCCCGAGGCTTCCTTTGTTTTCAAAGCAGCAACTGGGCTTTCAATCCTTCCTTCCCAAGCTTTAAATCACTCTTTCCCCTATGCTGTCTCTTTCCAATGTCCTTTCTGCCTCTGCCACCAGCCATGGAAAGTTCTCTGCTTTTAAGGGCTTGAGTGATCCACTGAGCCCATGTGGATGATCCAAGACATTCTTCCTATTTTAAGATCAACTGATTAGCTGCCTTAATTACATCTGTAAAGTCTCTTTTGCTATGTGAGGTAACAAATTCATGGGCAGTGACAGTTTCCAAGGATGAGGGTGGCACTGTGGGGAGCTGTGGTTCTGCCTGGCACACCGCCCCAGAATGAGCAGTGGAAGAAGCATGTGCATGGATGTTAGATAGGCAAGAGCACAGCTGGGGTGGGTTTCTGTGGTTTTGCCACCTAGCATCCATTTCCATCCTTCTGAAATTACATCTCTATTTTCCACTGGGGGCACTGCCCTGCCCCGGCCGGCTGTGCTTTGTGAAGAGGTTGGACTTGGGGCTCAGGCCCGGCTAGTCTGACCATGTCACCCTCCTGGCCCCAGAGGCTGGTTCAGGGATGACATATGACCCAGCAGAAGCTTTTGGAAGAAGACCTCACATTCTTCCCACTGGACTTGGCCACAAAAGGGTGAAGGAATTAGAGCTGCTGCCACCATCTTGCAGCCACTAGGGCAGAGTCTGTGGGAGGATGGCACCACCATGGCGGTAAGAGAAGCCTGTGTGTTCATCTGGGCATTGTCTGCACACTGACTAAAGCCACCTGAGGCAGTCCACCCTGGAGTGTTCAGTTTTGTGAGCCCAAGACTTTTCTTTTTCTATAAATATGTATAGTCACGTGAATGCCTCAAGTGTGTTTAGTCTTAAGGATACACATCTGTGAAAACATATGATCTTTGGGTGTGGGATGCTAAGTGGGACTAAGACCCAGAGAGACAAGAGCCAGAGCAGAGGTGCTGGATGCCCCACATGTGGGGACAGGTTGTGCTGGAGGGAGAGGCTTGAGACTATTTTTATAGAAGAACTGGGTTTCCCCCCCCATTTTTTAAATTTTAATTTTGATGCAATTTCCCATATACCCTTTACCTAGATTCATCAATTGCTCACAACTTGCCCTACTGGCTGAACCATTCTCTCTATATTAATACATACAGAGAAACATGTGTATTGCTCCCGAACTATCTGAGAGCATGGTGTTGACAAGATGCCTCTCTACTATTGCATATTTCAGTGTTTCTTTCCTAAAAACAAGGACATTCTCTTATGTAAACACATGTGCTTATCAGAGCCAGGACAATCTGCATTGATATGATACTTTGATGGAACCCCACAATCCATATCTAAACGTCATCAGTTGTCCCAAGAATGTCCTTTATAGCTATTTCTGTACTGCTCTAGGATCTAGTTCAGGACCCCACATTGCATTTAATGGTCATGTCCCGTTAGTCAAGGAGGTCACATTTGAACACAGCTTGGAAACTCTAATGGGTCTTTGATGTCCCCAGGAGTGAAATCCAGAAGGGTTATTTGAATGGCCTCATACATATGCGTTCTTCGACTTGTTTTTTTCTCGCAGTATTGCTGGGAGGTGCATCTGTGTTGGTGCATGACACTGTTGCTCATTGTCATTGCTGTCAAGTATTCCATTGTGTGGGTGTGACATGGTTCATTTATCCTTTCTCCTATGAATGAACCTGGGTAGCTCACAGGTGTTACTGTGGTTGTGTTTATATCAATGGATGCTGCTGAGACTTTACCTGTGCAGGGAACTGCTGAGCTGACCTGTACACATCTCCTTATTGGTGTTGCCAAATTCTCTTACAAAGTGCACTTTCCAAAAAGCACTCCACCAGTGGCATGCCAGAGCTCCTGCTGCCCGACCTGTCTGCTCACATTTGGACCTGTCAATTGATTCAATTTCTTCCCTCAGGATGTGGATGAAGCCATCCCCATGCATTTGCCAGGCCACAGGACTATGCTTCCTCTTAATTTGCCAGTGGTTGGAAGCCCTCTGTGTAGCGTCTATGTGCTTTGCACTGGTTTTGCCACAGAGCGCATAGAAGGCAATGGCAGGCAGAGCCCCAGCCCTGGCTGTGCGGCTGTTTCTCTCTTCCCATCTCTCTGTCTCTGTCCTTTGTCTCCCTGGCTACGGCATGCCCACCCTCTGCCCTGACGTAATAGGAGCTCATCATGGAGGATTCTGGGCTCTGATGGAGGCTGAGAGGGAGGCCAGGCTCCACTGGACAGGGGATGCAGTAACTTGGACTAAATCCTCCAATTAGCCTCTCGGATCCTGGCCAAGCACAATGCTGTGGCCATAACATGCCTCCTCTGTAGGTCTGTCACCTAGGCGCCCTCACGGGCATGAGAGTTGTTTTGTGGACTGTAAACAGCTTCTGTAGGTGCTGAGTTGAGAACCCAAATCTATTCGTCCACTGTTTATTGGGGTTCTACTGTGTGCCAGGCTGTGCCTTTGAAGCTCCAGATGCAGAGGACAAGGCAGATGAAGTCACCAGTGCCACCCTGGGCTAGTTTGTCCTCAGCTCTTGCTATCCCATCCCTGGGCTCTGTGCCACCCTTCAGGGAGGGAGGCCGGCTGGATTCCTGCTGGATTCAGCCAATGAGAGGCTTTGGAGGGAACAGAGGAGGAACCAGGTTATTCTCCGACTTCCTCTCCATCTCAGGTGTCATCTCTGGTATGGCTCTGTCTTTCCTACAGCTCCAGCTCCTACTGGACAGGCCTGCTGAACCTCCCTGCATCACCTAGGCCCTGGGCTCTGGTAATGCCATCTCCTGTTGCCCCTCCAGCCCTGGGGAGGTAATAGCTTCTTGCTCCAAATTTCCAGAATTACTGCCTCACTGTTCCCTGTTCTTAGCAATTCTATCACCTGCACAATCATGTCCCTGAATTTTAACTTTTAAATTAAGCTTTACACTTTTCAAGTGACTTCTATTTCCCTGGTGGGACCCTAGAGATACTCTCACTCTCTTTGTGTTGTGTATATTACAGTGGAGGGAGATGAATGATGAGTAAATTAAGAAACAAATAGTTATGGTAAATGATGTGAAGAAAATGAATCAGGGTGTTCTCCTGGGGAGGGAGCTCACCGTTGGAGGGTGGGGGCAGAGAAATGCTATTGAGGAGAGCAGCAAGGTGTGCAGCAAGAAGAGCAAAGAAGGATGCCTTGTTTATTGAGTACCTACTATGTGTCAGCCCATCTGCTATGTCCTTCACAAAAGCTCTGATTATGTCTTTTGTAGTTAGCTTTGTGGGAGCTGGCAGGCAGCAGGGATTCAAAACAAAACTCTTCAAAATTGCGCCAGTCATTACAAAAACTCTTGGCATAGATACTTGTGGCAGAGACTGTCAGGTATCTTCCAAAAGCTATTTTCTTCCTCTGTAGAGGTTTAGCTGAGCACATGGTTTCTCAGAGCAAGACTACATTGCCCAGTCTCCTTTACCGCTAGATGTGGTCATGTGACTGTGCTCTAGCCAATGGGATCCAAGTGGATGTGTCAGCTTTCAGGAGACTTCCTTAAGAGACAGCCGATGTGCACCTTTTGTTCTTTTATTCACTTCCTCCTTCCTGCTGCCTGGAATCTAGATACAATGGTGATGCTGTAGCAGCCATCTTGGAATGTGAGGCAATGAAGGCCAATCTTGCTCTCTGACACCAGGGAGTGATACAGTAGCCCTGGATTGTCTACCTGTGAATTGTCACATGACAGAAGAAAAAAATTCTATCTCCTTGTTATGTGCAGCTGAATCTCATCCTAGCAACACAGTACTAACGAGCAGATTCAAGGCCATCTGCTGTCAAGACCCTTTCTGTTCCACTATCCTACCCATGCATCCTGGACTCATGGCCATAAGAACTCCCAAGGAAGTGAGTCAATCTGGCGCATGTTGGCAGCCCCACCTCTATCTTGCTTCCCAATCCAATAGGTATATGTGGCTCTCTGCTCATTCCATCTATCTATTGCTGCTTTAAAAATAGCCCCAAAACTCAGTGGCCTCAAATAGTTCATTATTATTATATCCCACAAACTATGGGTCAAGAATCTGGATGGGACTTGCAGGAATAGCTTGTATCTGCTCTGTGATAGCTGTGTCCTCAGTGGGGATGACTCAGATGGCTGGGGGCTGGGATGGTGGGAACTGGTAGGGCAGGTCTTTCGCCACCGGTGGCCTCTCCACCTGGCTCTAGCCTCCTCACATCATGGTGGCCTCAGGGCAGTTGGATTTTTAACATAGCAGCCCAGGACTCCCAAGGAGAGGCTTTCAAGAAGCAAGGAGTGGGCGTTAATCATCTCTTCCGGCCTGGGCTAGAAACTGCAGTGTCACTGCTACCGTACCCTCCTGGTCGAGTCACCTCAGAGCACACCCACACTCAAGGCCCCTAGCATGAGGGAGTAACAAAGACCTGGTGGCCATCTTTAATCAGCCATGCCTGTGACTACCAGGACTCTTTCAGTTGTAAGAGGCACAAAGCCCACCTCAGACTGACCAGAGGGAGAGAACTGGGAGTTGTCATTGGCTCATGTCACTGAAAAGGCCAGGGCTCTAGCTGGCTTTCGGCAGTGGGACTGAGAGCCAGTCTCTCTCAGCTCTGCTCTTCTGTGCTGGCCTCACTCTCAGGCATACTCTCCTGAGAGTAGAGGTAAAGATGGCTACCCACAGCTCCCAGTGCCACACGATCTGCCCTGTGACCCCAGCAGGAGGGCAGTCGTCGAGGATTCTTGCCAACTTTCCAGGCTGGACTCTCCATGGATCCTCCTGAGTCATGTGCCCAGAATGAATCAGCCAGAATGACTCTGATTGGCTGAGCCAGGGGTAGGCACTTCACATGGACCACCTTGGACTAAGAGTGGGAAGGGGTGGTCCCTGGAGGGAAAATCTGGGTGCAGCGACCTGAATATGGACACATGGATGCTGCTACAGTGACCCGCTGGGCGCCCAGTGTTGGGCCCCTGCCATGTCCCATGCAGGTGGTTTGGACAGGCCCAGGCTGACCTGTGGTCCTTACATGGAGTCCCCAGTTCCTCTCCTCTAACATCCCAGACCTTGGCTCCAGATGGCCCACGTTCTGGGCTTTGAATGTGGGGCCACCATCTCTAGAAGGGCAAGAGCTCTGGGGCCTCTTGCCAGGAGCTGCAAAGCCTGGAGACCGGCCTCTCAGGCCTGCCTGCTGACCCCAGGTTGCAGGGCTTCCGGAACCCACCTATGCCCCAGTTGTCACACCCAGCTCATCAGAAGGTAGTCTAGGAAGGCAACCAGGCCCAAAGTGTGAGGGAGCCATGTCTCAGCCCATGGGTATCTGGGCACAAGGACAGCTAGTGCAAATGTCCTGGGGTGGACACGTGCCAGCTGTTTGAGAAACAAGAAGGAAGCCAGTGGAGCAGGAGTGGAGCAAGCAAAGGGAATGACAAAGAGGCTGCGAGGGGCCCGGGTGCTGCGGGAGGGTGTGGAGCAGACAGGACAGGTTTGACTTACGTCTTTTTTTGTTTCTGTTTTTGTTTTTTTTGAGACAGGAGCTCACTCTGTTGCCCAGGATGGAGGGCAATGACGCAATCACACCTCACAGAAGCCATGACTTCTGGGTTCAGGTGATCCTCCCGCCTCAGCCTCCCAAGTAGCTGGGATTACAGGCGTGTGCCACCACGCCTGGCTAACTTTTGTATCTTCTGTAGAGATGGGGTTTAGCCGTGTTGCCTAGGCTGGTCTGGAACTCCTGGGCTCAAGCAATCCACCCGCCTCAGCCTCTTGAAGTGCTGGAACTACAGGTGTGAGCCACCATGCCTGGCCTGTCTTATATTTTCACAGGCCCCTGCTGGCCACTGTGCTCTGAACAGACTGTGGGGAAGCTGGGAACTTCCAGCAAGGAGGCTATTCCAATAGTCCAGGAGAGAGACCCCAACCGATTGGACCAGGCTGGCTGCTTGGACCAGGCCTGCTGCTCGTTGAGGCGGGAAGTGGTCAGGTTCTGGAACGTCGGACGAGAGGCCGGTATGTGAGAAGGGGGTGGGCAGGGCCCAAGGCCTGGACCCTGGCTTCCACCTCCCCACCTTCTAGGGAATGGACCTTCTGGTCACCTTCATGCTCACTCCGAGTCCCTACCCATCCAGTCCCTCCTGCCCACAAGGTGGCAGGGCAATTTCCAAAAATGCACATTGAGGCCAGCACACCGAGGTAGCTAATGGCAGACACTGGTTCCTTCTTAATGGTCCATGCATTTATTTCCATGTGATTCAGAAAATTACCTAACTAGCTCACTGGCCCTTGATTTTGGCAGTAATATAAACTTGCCTTTTGGAAATCATTTGGTTTATAAAGACATGAACTGATTTTCAAAAAATGATTAAGGAATCAGGGAGGAAGAGATGCAGCAGAAAGACTTGGGCAGAAACCTGTGAAGATGGTGCTGGGAATGACCGCGCTTTGGGGCGCGGGCCTGTGGCAGAGCACCAGCCCCTCTCTGGGTGTTCCTGGCCCATGAGCCCCACTCCTGTGCTCTCACACACCCATGTCTCCACTGTCATCCCAGCCTCGGGGGCCCTACATTTTCCAGAACATGCTGGGCCACTCCACCCCCTGACCTTTGCACGTGTTTTTCCCACTCTCCAGATGGCACAGGTCATCTCCAAGATTTTTTGCAGGACTGTTAGTCATTTATATTTTTTACATTCAAAACTTTAATCTGTCTGAAGTTGATTTGGATCTCTAAGAGGAGTACAATTTTATTTTATTCCAGATGGATATTCAGTTGTAGCTGGCTCCACTTACTTCACAATCTGCCCTTCTCCCACCAGATCAAAATACTACCTTTGTCATATATCTCCTTCTCATATATCCTGAAATCTATTTTTGTATTCTCCATTCCTTTCCATTGTCTAGTCCTCTACCACTGCCATATTGATCTGATTACAGTGACTTTGTAGTATGTTCTTGTTTCCAGGAAAGCAAAACCCCTAGAGCAGTTTTTTTCCAGCCTTCCCTGGAATTCTTGGGCATTTATTCTGCCATATAATCTTTGAGATCATTTTATCCAGTTTTTAAAAAATTATCCTGTTGGTAATGTAATTTGAATTACATTACATTTCTATGGGAAAAATGGGAAAATTGACATTTTTCTGGTATTAAGTTTCCCTGTCCAAGAACATGGCACGTCTTGCTCTTTTTTAAATCTTATTTTAAAATCCGTCCGAAGATTTAATTCATTTCTGTTTCCAAACTTTTACTTTATATGCTTCATTTTCATAAACGATAGTGCTCTTTCTTGATGAAAATCCTGCCAGTTCTTTCTTCAGCTGAAACGCGGTGTGCCCTGTGAACATCAGCATGGACGTCTGCAAAGAAAATATTGTGTGGCATTCACCTGAAGAAGGTCCCAGCATCTGTTATCTGGTACGCTCAGGATGGGCCATCAGCTGAGTCCAAAGTTGGTTTCTGTTTTCCTTCTCTTCTCTTCCTTTCTTTTGAGACAGGGTCTCACTCTCTGTCATTCCCAGGCTGGAATACAGTGACACGATCACAGCTCATTGCAGCTTCAATATTCTGAGCTCAAGTGATCCTCCCACCTCAGCCTACCAAGTAGCTGGGACCACAGGTGTGCATCACCATGCCCGGCTAGTTTTTAAACTTTTTATTTTTAGTAGCGATAGGGTCTTCCTATGTTGTCCAGGCTGGGTATTTCTTAATTTCTTTCTTTTTTTCTCTTTTAACAAATAGGGCTCCATGAATGTCTTTGGACACACCTCCTTCTTGCTCATGTGTGAGGGCTTCTCATATCCCTGGAAGAGGACTGGCTGGGCCATGTGGCATTCCAATCTTCAGCTTTGGCAGAAACAGCTAAATTACTCTGCAAAATAGTTGGAACTATTTACATTCCTGGCAATAAGGCAAGAGAATTCTTGTTTCTTTATGTTTGAGTCAGTGGCTAGAATTTCCCCCCGACTTTTCTTCTTGGAAAACTTTTTTTCCATCTTTATTTTGTAGTCAAAAAGTTCACATTTTGCATTTTAATCTCGTTTTCCTATATAGGGTATATATACATGTGGGCATGTATGTGTGCAGGTGTATAGCTCTCTAGCTCTACCTATCACCTGTCTATGTAATTTCAACAGGAATCAAAAGGTACCATGAAAATCTTTCTCCCATCCCTGTCCCCAGCCACCCAAACCCAGGTCCCAAACACAGGTAGATGTCAACCATTGTTAACAACTTCTTTTGTTTTCCATCCAGAGAAATTCTGTAAATATGTAAGTGAATGTATATATTTTCTCTCCTTACCCAGTTCTTAATGAAGTGGTAACACATCATGTACTGCATGTTTATTTTCACAAGAATTCTATCTTGGGATTATGCCGTATCGGTATGCAACGAGCTACTCTTTCCTTTTTCTCACTCTTTCTTTTCTCTCTCTCTCTTTTTTTTTTTCAACAGTGGTATAGCATTTCATCTGCAGACAAACATCTTTTGTTTCCAAACTTTTGCCATAATCTATGAGGCTGCAGTGAATTTCCTGATAAATTTTATAGATGTAAAGCATATCTATCAGATAAAGTCCTATGAGTGGAATTCCCAGCTCAAAGGGTAAATATATTTGTAAGTTTCACAGCGTCCTGTTGCTCATCCCAACCTGAGAGTGCATCAGTGGACACTTGCCCCAGGCCATCTCCCCCATGCCCTTAGGAACATGATGCGTTATCCAGTGTTTTGACATTTGCTAAAACCAACAGGTATAAAATGGTATCTCAAAGTGTTTTTATTTTTAAAACAGCCTTATTGTGATATAACTGACATGCTATAAAGTTCATTTGTTTTAAGCATACACTTCAATAAGTTTTAGTAAATGTACAGAGTTATAACCATCACCACAGTCTAATTTTAAAACACTTCCTTCACCCCAAGTATCTTGACATGTGTTAAATTTTCATTTCTCTGAGTGAGAGTATGTTTTCATTCATTTACGAGCCATTTCTATTTTCTTTTCATTGAATTTTCTGTTCATATGCTTTGCTCATTTTTTTCTATTGTATTTTTTTTTATTGATTTATAGGTACTTTTTATATATTATGCTTCCAGATTAGTTTAAGAGCCTCTCTTCCAAAATTCACCCTGTGGTTTCATTTCTTACAGGCTGGAATTAACAGAACCTGTTGACCGGGCTGCTCCTCTACCACACCATGAGTTACCTGCACACAGTGACCATATTCAATTTTATTCCATGTCCTCTGCTGCCTAGCACAGGGCCTGGCCCAGCGTAGATCTCTGCAAGTAAGCCTGGACTCTATGTTCTATAGATGCATCTATAGATGCAGCAGCCCATCTATGTTCAGCAGTCTCATCATTTGTGGAGAATTTTCCATCTATGTGGTGAGTCATATCTGACTCCTCCACTGGAATGATTGCTCCCTGAGGGAAGGTCCCATGGCTGTTTGGTTTGCTGCTATCCATCTGGGGTCCACCACAGTGTGGCCTAGCACATTATTTAAAAGTGCTGATAAGACTAATTTATTAACTAGTTAATGACTAAGTGGTTTACAGTACCCGGAGGGAGAAAGATATTGGAAGGCTACAGAGAAGGAAAGCCAAAACCAACACAGCCACAGTAACTGGTGTTTCCATGAGGGGCACATCCCCTACCCGAGGGCCTGCAGCCAGTGGGTGGGAACCCTGGTGCACACTATCATAAGCGGTGATGCTGCAAGACTCTGCCCTTACGTTGCCATTCAGGAATACAGTCCCAGGGTGGCTCATCTTACAACTTTTCAAGAGAAGCTGGAAATGACGCTCTTTACATGACATCTTTCTACTTCGAAATGCTAGCAATGATGATCAGTCACTGCACAGGCCCCTGAGACTTGGGCTGCCAATTTGCAAAGCCTGGGTTTACAAAACACAACTCTTTTTAAATGCATGCTCACACATAATTCTCCCAGTCATCCTGGAGGGAGGTGGGCAGAGGCAGACCCTGAGGCTCAGAGCAGAACAATGACTTTCATCCAGCCACCCAGCTGGTAGGGGTATGTATGTGGGTGTGCGAGGAGGAGATGGGGGAGTCCTGACCCCCTGGCCTGAGCTGTCATACAGCTCCTCTTCCAAGAAGGAATTGGGCCATTTCTGAGGGAAGTGAAGCTAATTCTCAGAGCTCCTGGCCAAGGCTCCCTCCCAGGGTTTGTCCCAAGCCTGCCTGGGCAGGTGAAGCTTGGCCTGATGCCTGCTGAGCTCCTTCTAGGGCAGAGATGGGCAGGGCAAGCTCACACCTGGAAGCCCAGTTGGAGTGTGGCCTTCTCTTTGCTCTCTATATCTTGCTGTTGATCCATGCCCCACGCACAGCAATTAATCATCACCGCCTCATGACAACTCCGGTATAATTATCTTGTATTATGAGTGAAGTCTCGCTGGCAGGCCAGCCCTCCCTAGAGAGGCCACAGCTCCTGAGAGCCAGGTGAGAAATGTTCTCTGCCCTCATGGGCACGGCGGGTGCAGGGATGTGGAGGGGCCTCAGTGGTTCTATCCCTCCATCCCAGGCCCCTCTGGGATGGGGGCAGGTCAGTGGGGCTGGAGTGGCTGGCTGCTGAATGACTTGCAAAAAGTCATGGAGGGGAAAAAGGAGCTCCCGTAGTGATAGAGAGAAATGACAATGATGAAGGCCGTCCAGGCCCCTCTATCCTCATTCCCTCATTCCCAGAGTTGCGACTGATGCCAATCAATTGTCAGATATGATTCCAGTTGCTGAGCTGTAGCCACAAGCAAAACAGAGCCTCCACCCCCACAAGAAGCCTGGCACACTAGAGGGAGAGCCAGACAGCACGCACACAGGGGCGAGGCGATTTCAGACTGTGTTAAGCACTACGAAAGAAATGCACAGGGCCTGGTGCCGTGGCTCATGTCTGTAATCCCAGCACTTTGGGAGGTCAAGGCAGGTGGATCACAAGGTCAAGAGATAGAGAACATCCTGGCCAACATGGTGAAACCCCATCTCTACTAAAAAAAATACAAAAATTAGCTGAGCTTGGTGGCGTGTACCCATCCCAGCTACTCGGGAGGCTGAGGCAGAAGAATTGCTTGAACCCGGGAGGCGGAGGTTGCAGTGAGCTGAGATCGCGCCACTGAACTCCAGCCTGGCGCCTGGCAACAGAGCAAGACTGTCTCAAAATAAAAAGAAAAAGAAAAAAAGAAATTCACAGAGAAGAGCGGGGCACAAGGGAGCGACCTGGCTCTCGGAGGGTGACACTTGAGTAAAGGCGGAATGCACTCGGGGTTGCGGGAACAGTATCCTCAAAGGGCCTGAGATGGAACGCTCTGGAACAGGAAGACAGCCACTGCGGATGCAGTGAAGAAGAAGGAAATGAGGTCTGAGAGGTCAGTAAGGGCCACTACATAGGTTCTAAGAGTTTGGCTTTTTGGCTTTTATTCTAAATTCAGTGGGATACATTCTCAGAAACGATTTCTTGCTGCCAACTTAACTGTAGCCTTTGCAGCTTGCCCCCCCCCCGCCCACCCCGTCTATAGTTTCCTGCCCATCCATCCACCCATCCTTTCAACAAACACTTATGGAGCACCTACTGTGTGTCAGCCTTGTCCTGGGGAACAGCAGTGACAAGCAAAGCCCCTGCTCCCGGAAAGCCCGCCTTCTGAAGGTAGAGACCGTCACCCAACCTCTTCTGCACGGGAGCCGGCTCCTCGGACTCCACCCGAGACACCCGCGGCCGGCAGGTGGCGCTCTGCGCCTGCGCTTGGACAGCGGCCGGGGGTCGCCGGGCGGGAGCCCAGACCCGGGCCGGGGCCGGGGCCGGGGCCGGGGCGGGGGAGGGGCGGCCCGGGGGGCGGGGGTGGGGCTCGCGTCGCAGGTTGTGTGACTTTGGGTTTGACCTGCCTGGAGATGAGCTAATCCCGCAGTATAATAGACTCCGGGGAGATAGGGAAAATGGCTGCGGCGCTATCTGCGTCGCCATGGGGACCATCGCGCGCGCGCGGGCGGGGCGCAAGCCTGGAAAAATACAGCCTTTGTCGGCGGCGCGTGTCACTCACGGCGCGGGGACCTCAGGCGGCGGGTTCGGGCTTCCTTGTCCCAGCTGCAGAGCTCCGGCGGGGAGGCTCTGGGGCTCGGAGCCCCGGGTGTCCCCAAATTCCGCGGACGGCCCCTCCTCCTACACTCGCACACTCCGTTTTCGCCCCAAAAGTCTCCTGTCTCCTGTGACACAGCACGTTCCACCTCGCCACTCTGGCGTCTGTCACACTCGCTCACACCATTCCCTGTCGCCTCCCCAGCCCAGAGTCTACTCACGCTGGCATACGGACAGGCCCCAACTACTGCCGTTCCCCCGTGACCCTCATGCAGCTCACCTGGGCACACCTGGGCAGAGATACAGCAGGACACGCAGCCTCACGCAGACCCGAGCACACCACAAGTTCACGCCCAGAGGGAGCACTGACACCTGCACGCTTTCCCCCAGGAGGCACAGGAAGCTTGTGTGCCCTGAAACACAACGCAGGGTGGGCACCTGCATGCACACCACACATCAACCCTAGTGGCCTCTGGCGTGCCCCCCTAAACAGCCACCTCCAGGGCAGACACAGTGAGGCACTCGCAGGACGCTCATCCTCTGCACTCGGACACGCGGGCTTGCACTCCCATTCCTCCGCCACGTGTCCAGCCACCCTGGGCTCACATGCTCAGTGCAACACCGCCTCCTGTGCACCCTGCAACCGCCTCATCGGTTACCTTTGGGCACTCAGCACACACACGACCTCCATGCATGTGCATGAATGGACTCGCACATGTGCACTTTTTTGTGGCACACTTGCTTCACACACCTGCACACTCGCATGCACTGGCACACCCACGTGTCCACCCAAACACGCCGGGCACACAGGGGCACACACTCCGTGGCCCTGGAAGGCAGGCGGGTGGTGCGGGCACGGGGCGCCCGCGTGCCCCCAGCGGACGGCTATCTGCCTGCCCATCAGCGCGCGGATCTGCGGTGGTAAATGATGCATTCGATGGCGGGCGCATTTGTTGTGCGCTCTCTGAAAGGGCTCCGATAATCTGGAAGGCAGAGATAAGGAACACCATTTATTCCGCGGCACTTTGGAAACAATTCCCAGCCCTGTACAACCCCATTCTCGGGCAGCCTCCGGGAGCCGGGCAGATAACGATTGGCTATTCATTATCTTCGCCGGGAACAAAGATTAGCCGGCCGAGATGAAAAATTACCCCGGACAGCGGCGCAGCCCCGTGCGGAGCCCCCTGCCCGCCGCCACCGCCCGCGCCTCAGTGCCCCGCCGTGTCGGCGGCCCGCAGCTCTTGCCCAGCCGGGCCTTGCCCCGCGCCCGGCGTTTCGAGCCTGGCGGCTGAGCCCTGTCTGCCTTTCCATCTCAGTCGGTTCGTCCCATCCAGCCCATCTTTCCTTTGTGTCCCCACTCTTCTCCGCGGCCCTTCTCACCTCTGTCCCCCATCTCACAGTGGCTCTTTGAGCCTCTTTGGGGTTCTCTTCCCATCTATTTTTCTCTTATCTCTCCAGCCTTTCTTATCTCTCATATCTCTATGTCTCTCTGGTTATCACCTTCTCTGCTTTTATTCCCATCTTTCTGACTCTTTCTGTCACTTTTTAGTTGTTTCTGTCCCTGAGTGTCCCCAACCCCTAGCCCTGTCCCAACCAGTGCCTCTTCCTTATTGTTTTTAAAAATCTGTCCTTGGGCCTCCCATCTCTTTCCCCACTCCTTGTCTCTCTGGATCTTTCTGTCACTGGATTTCCATTTCTCTCCATCCACCCCACCCAGAGGGCCCCACACCTCTAGGCCTCATACCTTCTGCCTCTCAAGGCTATGAACCTGGCTGCAGACCAGAGACTGGAAGGCTCCAGCCAGCTCTGGTCTGGCCAGTCCAGCCCTGCCCAGTAGGCAAAAGGCAGGTGAGGTGGGGAGGTGGAAGGCCTGGAACCCTCTTTCCAAGGAAACAAGACAGAACTAGAAAAGGCTCGGTAGGCACCCAGGCCCTGCTCTTGTGCTTCAGACTAGCTTGCCCATGCCCCTCCCCTGTGAGGCCCGGGGCCTTGGGATCTGGTGGTCCCAACGAGGACACCTCATTAGAGCAGTTATTCAGCATGGCGCTGGCGACAGCAGATAAGGCTTATCAGCTCATCTCCCCTCCCACAGACAGACAGAAAGTGCCCAGCAAATGGTACCCTGGAGCTCCACTGGCGGCCTGCCCTGCTGGTTAAGGAAGGTCTGGATGGTGGGTGATCCTGGAGGATGCACCCCCTCCCCCTGCATCACCCAGGACACACACCTCCACAGTCCACAGAATAGGGCAGCGCTGGCCAGGGAAACATGCATTTAAAAGACATAGTCATATGTACAGTTGCCCACAACCCAGATAGGTGACACAAATGCCCACCCCAACACACATCAATTCATACATGGAGCTGTACATAGACATGCAGACATGCTTGTATATATCTCCTCCCCACCAGCAGTTCAAAGATACAACGATACACACTGATACCCTATGTTAAAGACATTTGGGCATGCACACAACCAAATGAATGTTCAGATACACAAATAAACACACCCCACAGCCATCAGTTGCAGAATTATACATGGATATCCAGACACATGCAACACACCTTACACACACATACCTACACATACACCAGTTCAAGGACACATGCAGATACCCAGGCATAAACTATTAAAGACACACACAGGCCAGGCGCAGTGATGCACACCTATTGTCCCAGGACTTTGGGAGGACGAGGTGGGAGGATTGCTAGAGTCCAGGAGTTTGAGGCCTGTCTGGACAGCATAGTGAGACTGTGTTTCTACAAAAATAAAAATAAAAAAATTAGCCAGGCATGGTGGCATATGCCTGTGGCCCCAGCTACTCAAGAGGCTTAGGTGGGAGGATGTCTTGAGCCTGGGAGGTTGAGGCTGCAGTGAGCGGTGATGGAACCACTGCACTTCAGTTTGGATAACAGATCAAGACCCTGTCTTACAAACAACAACAACAAAAAGACACACAGTAACACATGCCTAGATATATGCACATACACACACTCCAAAACACACCAATTCATAGACATGCCGCACACACACTGCTACAAACACAGGGACACACTCTAATTTTCAGGCAAACACTTGGAAATCCCCACCCCCTCATTACATGAGTCTCTGACACGACCCCTCAGACACAGAGCCAAAAGGACACACAAACATTTCCACAGACACACTCTCTTGTGCCAACTTCCAGGGTCATGCTCTGAAATAGCCAAATTGTGACCTACTGCCCAATACATAAACTCTCAGGAACCGACAAGAAGAAATGGACATACTAATATACCCAGTTTTGCAGACACTCCTGATGTGATCATAAATGCATGCAGACACACCTGGGCACACAGGATGTAGACTTTGGGCCACATGCATAGAACACACATACAATGCAATAGTCACCACCAGATTTGGAGAAAGACCTATAGACACAGGTGTCTCAAAGATCAGGGGACAGACACACTCCTCTGGGGGCACACCTGGGCACAGGAGCACACATTTCCCAGTCCTTCCAAGGCCAAGGACTTTCTCTCTAGGTTCAAGGTCCCCAGGCCACTTTCACTCTCCCTGGTCTGACTGAATGGGAATCATAGGGGTGGGGGGAGACATTGGCCGGCTGAATCCCGTAGTAAGAACTCTGGCAACACAAGGATTGGACTCTCTTTGCCCACAAACTCGGGGGCCTTCTGGGGATGAAGACTCCCACGCTCACCTTCTCCCCACCTCCCGCCCCCCACTTCTGTGAACAAGCCGTCTGCACCCTTCCTTGCTTTCCCCTGTGTGAGAGTCTACCCCCGGGAAATAGGCCAGGGGGACGCCAGACGGTGGACTTCTAAAGTGCTCTGGGTCCCCCAGAGTTAGGAACTGGAGTGGGGGTGGGACAGGGAGAGGAGCTGTGCCTCTGCACTTAGCTAAACCAGTCTGGCTGTGAGGGCGTCCCGAGTATGCCGAGCTGCATCTGAGTGTGTGGCCTTGTGTGTCGGTGTGATCCAAGCCGTCTGAGAATGTCCTCAGGGCCACAGCTGCGTGCACATGTGCACAAACGTGTGCATGTCGGTGCGAGCACTCCTGGAAGTGGATTGAAGACAGAGGAGCGGGCGTCTGTGTGCCATTGTGAGTGACTGCGTGTGCCTACAGCTCCTGAGGGTCCCCGGGGAGAGTCTCAGTAAAGACGTGTCCCAGGCTTTCTGAGCGAGCATCCCTGAGGTCAGGGGCGCGCGTGTGCGCTCCGGAGAGGGCGGGAGAAGCCTGGAGTGTGGATGCACAGGATGTGCGCGCCCTGAGTGCCTAGCGGCCCTCGGCCGGCCTGGCGGCTGGACCTGGTAGACCGGGTGCAGAGCCCCGGGCACCCTCCTGCCCCCTGCGGCGCTCCCGCCCCCGTCGCCACCCCCTGTGCCCCCCCCCCGCAAAGTGATGTCGAAATAAAAAGCCGCGTTGCGGCCGGTGGAGGAAGAGAAGCAGCGTAAGCGCGAGGAAGGTAGCGAGGCCAGCGCCGCGGTGCTCGCTGCTCAAGTCTGTCTCTTGCCTGCCGCCACCTGCACCCTAGCCGGGCCCCGTCGCCCACCAGGCGGACAAAAGCCGTCCGCTGAGCACCATGCGGCCAATCGGCCCGCCGCCCAGGCTCTGTTGGTGAGCGCCGCCACCCCGCGCCCAGGTTCCGCGAGCCTGCCCGCCGGCACCTCTCCCTGCTCACAGCTCCGCTCCGACCACGTCCGCCCGGGGGCGCCGCCCACCGCGCCTCGCTCGGTGAGTTCCTTCCACTTCCACCCGCCTGGGCCGGGCCCTTCCCGCTCCCAGCCCGGCCAGCCGGGCACCGAATCGCTTGGTCCGTTTGCCCTGTGGCCTCTACTTTTGAGGCTCTCCTTGGCCCTGAGAGACACCGGAAACCCTGGTTATAGGGACTTGAACGAGAGGGAGTATTTGGGGACTTGGGGACAGCAGGCCCGCCTGGGGCCTCTAGTCTTCCCATTTCTCGGAGCCACAGGCCAAGAGTCCTTGGCATTCCCAGAGCCTCGCAAAGTACCCCCGCCTCCCGGCTCCCGAAGTGGGGCCTTTGTCTCGGCCGCCCCCAACCCCCAGGCCGCCGCGGCAAATGCGTCCGAGCAGGGCCGCCGAGCGGCGGCTGCACCTGCCGGATGGTCCCGTGCGCCGGCTTTTCGCGGCTTAACCCGGCTCGCTCCTGCTTGCGCCCCCGCGCGCTTCGCCCCGCAGCCCTTTATCCTGTGTGACTGGGGTGCGGGTGGGGGAGAGTGCCGGGTCTGGAAGTCTCCCCCCGTCCGAAGCCGGAGTTGGAATCCGTTTAGTAGGATTTCAATAAGAATGGGGCCGCCGGGGGCTTGAGGATCTGCCGCCGATAGGCGTAGACGACGTTCTGGATCTGTCTGAAAACGGGGCATTTAAAATTATTCGGTGGCGGCCAGGCTTGAACTCTGGGTTGCTCCAACCACGAGGGGAAAGGCCCCGCGTTCAGGGCCCCCGTGTGTGGCGGCCGCTCCTTTACCGGAAAACAAGGAAGGAAATTCGTTGTTTTGGAAAAAGCCTCCTCTTCCGAGGTCGGGAACATCTGGTGGTGAGCTCCAGGTCTACGCAGGCACCCCGTGCTGGGATTCGTTTATGAGCAGGCAGGATTCAAGAACCAGGTAGGGCCGGTGCGGCAGCTCAGGCGTCTGGAGAGCGTTTCCCAGCCGGGTTAACAAATTGCAGACAAATTGCCTCTAACGAAAAGGATTTACCAGTTGTCAGGCCGCCGGCCCCGGCCGCTCCGAGCAAACCGTGGCTGTTTGTGGAGGAGGAAGGGCGGCCGGATTGTCTGAGGGTCTCAGCAGGGCCTCGTGGGGAGGCTGCCAAGCTTGAATGTAGGGGTCAGAAGCAATACAGAAGCTCGGAGGCGCCTGGGTCCAGGGTGCTGTGACACCTAGGACGTGGGGGCCACAAACTCTAGGATTCCCAAAAAGGCAGAACAGGAATGGGGTGGGAGAACCTGCACTGAGGCTGAATGAGGGAGCCTTCTGATTTGGGGGGCTGGAATTGAACCCCAAAGAGCAGGAGGGGCCAGTATAGCCGTAGTCCCCCCTTGGGCACCCCCTCTGGAGGTATGACTGCTGGCCTGAGATCTAATGACTCGTCTTTAAGGGAACTTCTGCACCCATCTGCTAAGACACCCCACTTTCTCTCTGTACCCCTAATGTTTATTGCTAATTTGGGGCTGGGAGACCGCTGGGTTGCGAATTAAATTTCTCTATAGAAGGTAGTCCCTTAGCAAATGGGTTTTCTTGACACCCCATTCCCAGCCCCACACCGCGGGCCAATTAGCTGCCCATAAGGAAAAGGCGAGAAGAATTAGGTTACAAAGGGAGGGCAAACTTATCTTCCCAAAGGGGCCGCCTCGGATGAGCTAAGTTTAAACAAAGGGCTCAGGTGGGAGAGCTGCACGGCCCGGGAGACCTGGCCGGCTCTGCGTCCCGCCTGAGACCAGCAACTTAGGAGAGGCAGGCGAAGCACTCTAGAACCGGGCACCAGATCTGCTGCCTCCCCAGCTCCCGGGCAGAAGCACCCACTCAAACGGTGACGATCGCCGCTGTGAGTTCTCCGGCCACTTGAAAAGGGTCCTTAGAAAATTCTGTTTCCTGGTTGATTATCTCCAGTCCTCGGGGAAATCTTGTTCCCAAGTAAGGAAAGTGACAGCTTCTTAATGTGATCAAAGGCAGCGCCGTCATTTCTAACTGTGCTCCCCGAACGAACAAAATACTGAAAAAGGGAATGTGTCCTTCTGAAGGTATCTGGGGACCCCAAAGTTCAAGGCCATAAACGAGTAAATCTGCACTCAACAGGCCTGGAACAGCGCCTCAAGATCCCAGCAGATTTTGGGGGCTGCCTAGACCCTCCCCAGGAGTTTGTTTGGGGCCCGAAGTGGGAGGATGGTGTCTCCGGTCTAGTGGGGAGGGGCCCGGTTGGTGTCCGTCGGTCTGTCTGGCTTACACAGACATTCACGAGGGCAGGTCCCCTTTATTGGCCAGCTGGACCTCCTGCTACCTGGCGCTGCATTTCTCTGTCCCAGGCGGGTTCGTTTCCGCCAGAGAATGCAGCAGTCCCGCATCCTACGCAGGACCTGCAACCGAGGTGGAGGCTTCAGTCAAGCCGGCCCCTGCCTGCGTTGTCAAGGAAGGCAACTCCAAGGGTTGCAGGGACCTGGCAGAACTCCTTTTTCCCTTTTTTCCGCCACAATCGGATTGCGGGCAAGGAGGCTGGTTCGGGTCTCCTGAGGCTCCGGCTCAAGCACTCCTTAACCGCCCTGCTAAGCCCCTCTGCGCGGCGATTTTCTGAGCTGCCGAGCGGGGTAATTAAATCCCTTCCTCGCTCCGCTCTGCGCCAGACAGGCAGCAGCGCAGGGCTGACGTTTGGACAGGGGACTCAGTCAGGCTGGCCACCTCCACTATCGCAGTGGCCAGGACGTCGCCGCGGAGGGGTTAGGCACCGAGCTCGCGGCACTGAAACTGCGGCTGCACACAGAACGGAGGCGGGGGATGAGGGGTAATTTTTATCGGGCCTTTGGGAGAAAAAGGCGAATTACCTGCTTTCCCGAGGGCGGTGTGCAGCCACTTCCCTGCGAGCCGCGGCGCAGATCGCGGCGGGGCGGGAAGCTTCCGCTCGGCCCTGGAGTTCACAGCCCAGCGGACAGCTGCGGGTCTGCCTCCCGCGCTGGGTCCCAGGGTTCGCGTTCAAGCCGGGCAGCTTTGCTGGACGCGGGGGATTATTCCCGGTGCCGCGGTGTCTTTCAGAGGGTCCTGCTAGGCTCCGGAGACGCCAAATAGGCTCGAGCTCCGCGGCGATCTCATTTTACGCGTTGATGAAGAATAGTAAGCTAAAGGATGGGAGAAGTTGAGAGACAGACCGACGGAGAGACAGTGGCCCGGCCGGACCGCACGCGTAGAGGGGAGCGGGAACCGGGAGGCACGGAGACCGCTCACCTGCCCGGCCTGGCCGCGGAGGCCCGGCGCCGGGGACCTCGCGCTCTGCCTCCAGCCCCGCCCGCCTTTCCCGGCTGGCGCAGGCCTCGGTTCCCGCGGAATGGAATTCCGAGCAGACCCGGCTCCGCGCGCCCCAAAGTGGAGGGGAGCGGGAGGCTCAGCAGGCAGGTCCCCCAGGGCACTAGACGCGCTGGTTCTCAGTCCAGTGGAGCTCTGCGCCCCCCAAGCCCCGCGGTTTACCTGCGCTTGGGCCTCGGACAGACAAACGGACGCCAGACGCAGAAGCAGGAGGAAGCCCGGGCCTGGGCCCGCGCCCACTCGGCGCTGCCCTGAGCTGGCCGGGGAGGGGGTGACGGGGGCGCGCCCGCGGAGCTGGGCCCAGTCGGGCGCCCCCGGAGCCGAGGGGACCGAGGGCTTTCCTCCCTCCTCGGATTATTAAAAAGTTCATTTCCTGGCGAATCGGGTGACGTCAGGGGCTCGGCGTCGCGGTGGCGGGGCCGCCCGGCCTGAGAAGCCGCCTCCAGTTACCCAATTACCGACTGTCAATCCCGCCGCCCCTCCCCCACTCTCCCGGGGGTGGCCCGGACCCCAGCCCTCCTCCTGCCCCTGACCCACCTGGGGGCCCCCTGGACATCTGCCCCGGGAGCCTCGGGCCCAGCAGGGAAGAGGGCTGAAGGACTCGGTTGAGGCCCCCCCCAGTACTCAGCACCTGTCTAGGTCCCCCCAAATGCCTTTGTCCTGGAACCCCCCATTGGCCCGGGGCTCCCTTCGAGCCTCCCTCTCCCTCGTCTGTACAATGGGAGGGGGCAAGACTTATGTGCCCGGCCCACTGGACCCATAGAGCCGGATCTCCGGGCTGGAAGTGAGTGAGGAGCAGTTTCAGGTGACTTAGGGGACAGAGACCTCAGACCACCGCCTCCCCCTCACCAGAGGCCACCTCGGGGACCCCCGGGAGGAAAAAAATGCCACCTCTTGTCCGGGGGCGTCTCCCTCCAGCTGGCGCCGGCGCCAGTCCGGGTCTCCACGGCCTCGCCCCGGGCAATTTGGGCCCGTTGGCCTTCGAAAGCCACGCCCGGGGAGGGGATCCCCCACCCCTGGAGCCACCGGCTCTGCCACCTCCACTGGGTCAAGCACAGCCCTCGAGCGGCCGCGTGTCTGAGGCTCAGGTGCCCTCTAGGGCGTAGTTCCTGCCCCTCTCTGCCCGTCTCGGTTCCTGCTGTCCTGCCGCGGTCCTCTGGGCCCTCCCAACCCTCTCCAGCCCAGCCAGCGCTCGAGCTGGGGGAGGGAAAGGTCTGGGTGGGTAGCCGCGCTCGGACTGACCGCGTTCAGCGGTGAAGGATCATGGCAGGGTTAGGGTCTCGGGGAGAGGCCATCCAGAGGGTGCGCGGCTCCGGCTCCTGGGGAGGGGGAAAGTTGGTGGTTAGTTACTGCTAGGGAGGCCCAGAGCTTCGAGGGATCCCGGAGTGCTCGCAAGAGAGCCTGGGGTGAGGGTCCCTTGGTAGTGGGGCGCGTTGGCAGTAGGGGCCGCCCGGAGTGTGCAGGGAGGGGGGCCCGCCGGCGGAGGGGGGGCAGGCCGGCGGGTCAGTCCGGGAGTCCAGCGGTTCGGGAATTGCGGACGCAGCCAATGGGAGGCGGAGGCTGGGCGGCGTGCGCCACTGATTGGCTGGCGTGGGCTTCTTAGGCGTGCGCGGCCCCCGCTTCATGTCTGTGCAGGAGTCGGCAGCTGGCGCCAGGGCGGCCAGAGGATGCCGAGGGGCCGGAGTCGGGCGGGCCCGAGGCCGAGGCGCGCGCTACCCCCCGCTCCTACCCTGTAAGCCCCGCCAGCCTCCGGACGCACTGTCCCTGGGCCCGTCGCCCCCGGGGCTCCCGCCCGAGCTCCTTCACTCTCAGCGGCCGCGTCCCTCTCCTCCCCACGGCTGCGTTTGTAAGTTTGGGGTTCGTGAGCACGCTGGGGACCTGGGGCGCTCCTCGTTTTGAGGGGATGGGGAGGGGTGGATCCGGGCGAGGGGCCAGGCTACGGGTGACTGCTTTGGTGTGGCTTTTTGAGAGGTTCTGGTTGTGCTGCTTAGGACTGCGCTTAGGGGCTGCGTGTGCGTGTTTGGGGGTCGAGGTCAGCATGTGTATCTGGCGCCAAGCGTGGGTGTGTGCGTGTTTCTGGGAACAAGTGCTCCACTGGGTGCCCGGGCCCCAATCTCCAACTTTGAGTCTGTGTTCCTGTGTTTGTCTACCGGACGGGGGGTTCAGTATGAGTGTCTGACTGAAGTGCTGCTCTGTGCGTTTGTTGGGGTCACTGCTGTCGGGGCCGGTCCCCGGGTGTGACCCCATGTGCACGAGTGTGTGGCTCTGGGGCCGCGGGTCACCACGTGAGTGTGCGTGGCTGAACCCCCTCCCCCGCCTTCCTTTCGTTTTGAGCTTTGGGCTTCCTCCCACCCGGGACTGGTCCTCGTTCTCGTAGGAGCTGGGCCGGGGCTCCGTGGCGCGCAGGACACCTCGTGGTGGGACTTTGGGGGTGTCAGGCGCTGGCGGCACGCCTCACGCTCCCTTCTTCGCGCAGGGCCGTTGCCGCCTCCACCCAGAGCCCGAGGCGCCGCCGCCGGCCATGGAGGTGGCGCCGGAGCAGCCGCGCTGGATGGCGCACCCGGCCGTGCTGAATGCGCAGCACCCCGACTCGCACCACCCGGGCCTGGCGCACAACTACATGGAACCCGCGCAGCTGTTGCCTCCCGACGAGGTGGACGTCTTCTTCAATCACCTCGACTCGCAGGGCAACCCCTACTACGCCAACCCTGCCCACGCGCGGGCGCGCGTCTCCTACAGCCCAGCGCACGGTGAGCGCTGGGCCCGCGGGGATGGGAACCCAGGAGCTGCGCGCCAGGCGAGGAAGGGGAGGAGGGCCCGGCTACTCGCTTCCCGGATGTGGGATCTGCAGGAATCGAGCTGCTGAAAAATCGGGGCGGGAAAGGTGGGGGCAGCGGCTGATTGGGGAGGGTCTGGGACCCATAGGGTTTCTGTCCATTTCCAGCTGGCCCTTGAGGGTTTCTGTAGGGCCTCTCCGCTGGGGTTCCTTCTATGCCGCTTGTCCTTCAGCTCGGACTGACATTCCTAATTATTATCGGTGGGGTGTTATGTTTCTGGTTTTCTTTGGGGATGACGACTTGTTCTGGGAGTCGTGATCTCACGTGTCTGTCAGAGGCGCCCGTGCCTCTGCCTACCCTGATCCTTCTGCCCACCCTGACCCTCTCTCCCTCTGCCCGCAGCCCGCCTGACTGGAGGCCAGATGTGCCGCCCACACTTGTTGCACAGCCCGGGTTTGCCCTGGCTGGACGGGGGCAAAGCAGCCCTCTCTGCTGCTGCGGCCCATCACCACAACCCCTGGACCGTGAGCCCCTTCTCCAAGACACCACTGCACCCCTCAGCTGCTGGAGGCCCTGGAGGCCCACTCTCTGTGTACCCAGGGGCTGGGGGTGGGAGCGGGGGAGGCAGCGGGAGCTCAGTGGCCTCCCTCACCCCCACAGCAGCCCACTCTGGCTCCCACCTTTTCGGCTTCCCACCCACGCCACCCAAAGAAGTGTCTCCTGACCCCAGCACCACCGGGGCTGCTTCTCCAGCCTCATCTTCTGCTGGGGGTAGCGCAGCTCGTGGGGAGGACAAGGACAGCGTCAAGTACCAGGTGTCACTGACCGAGAGCATGAAGATGGAAAGTGGCAGTCCCCTGCGCCCAGGCCTAGCCACTATGGGCAGTCAGCCTGCTACACACCACCCCATCCCCACCTATCCCTCCTATGTGCCTGCGGCTGCCCACGACTACAGCAGCGGACTCTTCCACCCTGGAGGCTTCCTGGGAGGGCCGGCCTCCAGCTTCACCCCTAAGCAGCGCAGCAAGGCGCGTTCCTGCTCAGGTAAAGGCAGGTGCTGGGAACTGGAAGAGGGGAGCATTTGCATTTTTGTGGTGGGAGGCTGTGACTTGGGAGAGGGGGTAGTGTCGGTCTCCCAGATCTGGGAATGGGTGATGTCTCTCTCTAATGGCCCCCAACAGATGTTTGAGACCCGAAGGTTGAGGAGAAGAGTTTCAGCATTTTCTTAAGGGTTTCCCGTGGCCCCCAAAGTTGAGTTCCTTGCCCCACGCCCCTGCAGGGTTGGTCACTGCCTGACAAGAACACAGTATGGGAATTCCCCCTTCCCCTCCCTGAATCCTAAGTGAAAATTCAAGCTACCTCAGGGCTGAGCCTGTGAGACAAGGGAAGCGAGTCTGTATATGCGTGTGTTAGGGAGCGTGTGTGCATGCGTGTACGTGTGTCTGTGTGCATGTTGTGTGTGCATGTTTCATTCACACAGGAGATTCCAGATGCTTAAGGAATCTGGGTCTCCAACTCAGATCAGTCTGATCTTGGGATTTCAATGGTTCCCAATCTCCTTGGGAGATTTCCCCTGAAGCAAAATTCCCAGGACTTGCTCCTGCTCCCTGCCCCCTTCAGGCCCTTCCCTATCCCTCCCTAAGGGCTGGAGTGAGGGGTTGAAGCTGCAGTGCCCCCGCCCCTTTTCCTGCAGCTGGCTGGGGCCAGACTGGGTTTGTCCAAGAACCTGGTCGCAGAGCAGAAACCCAGAAACCTGTGGCTAGCGAGGGACTCAGGCTGTCCATGTCTCTTTCCTGGATCCCGTTGAGCCACGGAGCGGGAACATTTTTAAGACAGTTACCCCAGAGTGCAGGAACCACTACTGTCTCTCGCTACTCTGCATTGCTCATTTATTTTAAACTAAACCAAGAACAACTTCCCGGGGAACACGATGCCAGGCAGCAGTCCTGCTCAACTTCGGCCCCATCCCCGGCCTCAGCCCCAGCCCCAGCCCCCGCTGAGCCCCAGCTTAGGGTCCTAGTTCTGCTCAGGCCCATAAGCTTGCCTTTTCTTGATCCTTTCTTCCAAGTTTGTTTTGCATTTTATTTAAATTCCAGATGGCCTTTTAACTGAAAATAATAATAATAATAACAAACAAAAAAACAAGGCCACTTAGTCTAAAAATGAAAGAGCTTATTATTTGTTTTATTTTAAAAAACAACAACTTCAATCCATTATTTCCAGGACTCAAATCTAGGGATTCCATGGAAGAAGAGAAAAGTTGGGAAGAAAGAGGGAAATAACCCTGGACTTAGAGCAGAAAGACAGGGAGGGGCAGACACAGCTGGGTAGAAAGCAGAGGGGAAGAGAGGGGAAGAGACGGCCGGAGTGGGAAGGAGAGAACCTCCTGGGCCCAGACCAGTTGAGCTGGGTGACTCCTGCCACCGACCTGCCCTCTGCAAAGTTTGCAGTAAATACCCTGGTGGGCACTCCAGAACGCCTGGGGCCCTGGGCCCCTCCTCCCCTCCTCCCTCGTTTTCTTGCTTCCTCGGGAGGATTGGAAGCGGGGGATTTGGCCTTAAACGACTCTCAATCTCGGTCCCCTCCCATGTGGGAGACCTTCTGGGTCCTGTTCCAGCCTAGGCCGTTGCAGCCAGGCCCAGGCTGACCGCGTGCCTGAGAGGCACCGGCACTGCTCAGCCAGCAGCTTGCCTGCCACGGGCCCCCTCCAGAGACCTTGCCGGTTAAGCAGGCCCTGTGTCTCTCCCTGTTCCCCTGCAGAAGGCCGGGAGTGCGTCAACTGTGGGGCCACAGCCACCCCTCTCTGGCGGCGGGACGGCACCGGCCACTACCTGTGCAATGCCTGCGGCCTCTACCACAAGATGAACGGGCAGAACCGGCCACTCATCAAGCCCAAGAGAAGACTGGTAGGCGCGGGTACAGGTGGCTGGGAGGGGGCTACTGGGCAGTAGCTGGCGGTTAATTAAGGGGGAAAAAAACCTTCGAATGCAGACGCTTTGCCGCTTGAAATCCTCTTTTATCGTGAAAAGCACTGGGATGTCAGTTGGTGTCGTCCCTCCTTCTGGCCAGATTCTTTCGGGCCAGATTTCCTCCTTGGGTGCAGGGAGCCCACCGGCTACCCTTGCGCCACCCCACTCTGCTCTGGGATCCCCAAAGTTGAGTGTCCACGGGTCCGACTCCTGTCCTCTGGCCTCTGCTTACCTCTTTTTAAAAATAGGGCCATGAAGTACTTTTCCTTGTGGATCAGCCCTCCCCGACCGCCCCACTCACAAGCTCCTCGCGCTTATTTAAATAAAACACCAACTCACACCGGCCACTAAAAAAACCTGCCCTTTATTATTTTTCCATGGAGTCACCTATACTGTGTATTTTCATTTGAGTGATTTTTAAAAAATGCCCTTTCGGATCTCCTGCCGGAGTTTCCTATCCGGACATCTGCAGCCTGAAGATAAGGAAACTTCGTGTATCTGTTTCCGGACTCTGTGAGTTTTTAGAGTCTCCTCAGCTCAGTCCTGCCTCTCGCTGGGCTGTTTTGAAATTTCTAATACCCTCCACTCTGCAAATAATGCGTAAAATGCTAAGAATAATAAATATATTTTTTCAGGGCAAAGTGATTTATGAGGCTTAAATCGTTCCCCTGCTTTGGGGGCCTTTTTTTTCCCCTGGAGCGAGGGCGGGGTGAGGCCCGGGTGGGGGTAGAGGTGGAGGACGCAGTGTTGGCCCCTGAGTCAGAATTCCAGCTTCAGGCTGCTTACTCACCCCTCCCTGCTGCCGCGGCTGCAGTCTCTCTGTCCCTTCTGTGACCAGGCTTGGGCCTGGGGCCATTCCAGGCTCTGCAGGCCTCAGCCCTCAGCCCCCAGCCCCCACGCTCAACACCTGGCGCACTCCAGCCTGCGGTTGCCTTAGAAGTATTGGGGGACCCTCTCTGTCACTGTGGGGCTGGCGCTGGTGGGACCAGGAGAGGGGATCTGCTTTCTTGGGTGAAGCCTCCCTCTAGTTTCTCTAGGGACCAGGCACTTATTTCCAGAGCCCACCTCTGCCAGGCATTTCCTGAGGGACTAGGACTTAGAGGGCTGGGGGTTAAAACTCTGAAAGTTAGGGTATGGTTGGCTGGATAGGTGGGGGTCAGCACTCAGACCAGCTAGAGAGATGGAAAAGTTCTGTGTCTGCACTGCCCACTGTGGTAGCCCCTGGCTGCATGTGAATATTGATCACTTGAAATGTGGCTAGTGCAACTGAGGATTTTTAATTTTGTTAATTTGTAATTAGATCTCATTTAAATGTCTGTCTGTGGCCAGCTGCTCCGGCGTTGGATGAATGGTGCAGCTCTGCACTCTGTAAACCTGTGCTGGCCTCAGTGGCACTGACTCACTCGGGACTATGGATTTTGAGGGGAGTCGTGCTGGAGAAGACACAGAATGGGCCCCAGACCCAGGGGCTTGAGGGGACCAAGCCAGCTCGGTCTCAGAATGCCTGTGCTACTAGAGAGCCCTTCTGAGGGCCTCAGTTTCCCCATTTACTGATAGCAGGGCACTAGGGGAGGTAGCTAATTCTTCCCTCTAGCTCTTGCAATCCCGTTGATTCTAACATCAGGCTTCTGAGAGTTCTTTATTCTAAAGTTCTGTGAGTCTTATTTCGTTCTCAAATTCTAAAATTCCATGGTTCTGAGATGCTTGATTCCCCAATGAGATTTAGCCCTCCTTGACTGAATCGGTGGGGGCTGTGGGGGAAGCGAGGGTCAGGGAGGGAGGTTGAGGTGGGCGTGAGAGCCCAGCCTGCTGACGCTGCCTTGCCCTCCCAGTCGGCCGCCAGAAGAGCTGGCACCTGTTGTGCAAATTGTCAGACGACAACCACCACCTTATGGCGCCGAAACGCCAACGGGGACCCTGTCTGCAACGCCTGTGGCCTCTACTACAAGCTGCACAATGTGAGTGTGCCCCGCCCTGGCTGCCCCACCCCTCCCCAGGGACCTCTGCACTTTGTGCTGCCAGGCAAGAGGCCCCAGCCACAATATCCATCTTGGCTTGGCTTGGGAAGCCGCTGCCCTGAGCGAGCGCCAGAAGGGCTTCCCGTCAGAGGGGGCGCTTTGCCTCTGTTCAGGAGGTGGAGCTGGCTGGGGCATGATCCTGGAGGCTAGAGAAGTGGTCTCTCTGCTCAAAAAAGGGTCAGGGTGTTGGGAAGGACTTCAGTTGGCTGGGCAGTGCTGGCATGCCATGGGCAGAGCCAGGGAGTGTGTGGGTTAGCCCCGTACACCAGAATCCGCCCTTCCTTGAATGGTAGCCATCTGGTGAGGGGACTGTGAAGGTCAGGCAGAATTCCTGGCTTCCTGGGACCCTCAGCTTGACCTGCCTCTGGCCCTCGCTATGGCAGCAGTGGGACATGTTGCTGGAGGAAGGAATTGGCCCCCTGAAAGCTGGTGGTCGCCTCTAGGTTAATAGGCCACTGACCATGAAGAAGGAAGGAATCCAGACTCGGAACCGGAAGATGTCCAACAAGTCCAAGAAGAGCAAGAAAGGGGCGGAGTGCTTCGAGGAGCTGTCCAAGTGCATGCAGGAGAAGTCGTCCCCCTTCAGTGCAGCTGCCCTGGCTGGACACATGGCACCTGTGGGCCACCTCCCGCCCTTCAGCCACTCCGGACACATCCTGCCCACTCCGACACCCATCCACCCCTCTTCCAGCCTCTCCTTCGGCCACCCACACCCGTCCAGCATGGTGACCGCCATGGGCTAGGGAACAGATGGACGTCGAGGACCAGGCACTCCCGGGATGGGTGGACCAAATCCTTAGCTGCCCAGACTTTCCCGAAGGCCAATACCACTCCTGCCAGCCTGGCTCGGCCCAGCACCCCCTCTCTTGGAGGGTGCCCGGCAGCCTGCCAGCAGTTACTGTGAATGTTCCCCACCGCTGAGGGGCCGCCCTCCGCACTCGGCCGCTGCCCAGGTGGGATTTCCTGCATGGACAGTTGTTTGGAGAACAAGGACAACTTTTTGGAGAGAAAAGGAGGGGATGGGACAGACAAAGGCAACCATTTTTAGAAGGAAAAAGGATCAGGCAAAAATAATTTATTTTGCTCTTGTTTCTAACAAGGACTTGGAGACTTGGTGGTCTGAGCTGTCCCAAGTCCTCTGGTTCTTCCTCGGGACTTGGCGGGTCCACTTGCCAGGGCTCTGGGGGACAGATCTGCAGAGACCTCAGCCCACACCCCCTTCTCCTCTGGCTTCCCTCTCTGAAACAGCCAAATTCCAGGCTGGGCTGAGCCAAAGCCAGAGGGGCCACGGCCTGGGGAGGGTGAGCTGGTGCCTCCTTCGATGGGCCCGGCCCTGGAGGGCAGAGACAATCACGGGCGGTCCTGCACAGATTCCCAGGCCAGGGCTGGGTCACAGGAAGGAAACAACATTTTCTTGAAAGGGGAAACGTCTCCCAGATCGCTCCCTTGGCTTTGAGGCTGAAGCTGGTGTGACTGTGTCCCCTTACTGAGCGCAAGCCACAGTCTGTCTTGTTTGTCAGGTGGACCCTGTAAATACAACCTTTTTCTGCTAACCCTTCAACCCTCTCCCCTCCTACTCTGAGACAAAAGAAAAAATATTAAAAAAAAATACATAAGCTTAACTCACTGATGAGTTAATTGTTTTATTTTTAAACTCTTGTTGGGTCCAGATGATTGTACGTAGCCACAGAAGCCCTGCTCTAAAAGGAATAAAAACCACACACAAGGCTGGCACTTCGCAATTGTTTTTGGGAAAGTGCTGAGATCCCACAGCCCTAGTATGAAAGCTGGGGGTGGGGAGGAGCCTTTGCTGCCCTTGGTTTCTGGGAGCTGGTTGGCATTTGCTGGCCTAGCAGGGGGTGAAGGCAGGAGTTGGGGGCAGGTCAGGACCAGGACCCAGGGAGAAGCTGTGTCCCTGCTGGGGTCCTGGGTCCAGCTTGGCTGTGGCTGTCTGGATCCTTCCCAAGGTACAGCTGTATATAAATGTGTCCCAAGCTTAGATTCTGTATGCGGTGATGGTGGGGTATGGTGGCTGTTGAGGGGCCCCTGGCCCAGGAGGAGGATTGTGCTGATGTAGTGACCAAGTGCAATATGGGCGGGCAGTCGCTGCGGGGAGCACCATGGCCGGAAGTAACTTATTTTGTACTAGTGTCCGCATAAGAAAAAGAATCAGCAGTATTTTCTGTTTTTATGTTTTATTTGGCTTGTTTTATTTTGGATTAGTGAACTAAGTTATTGTTAATTATGTACAACATTTATATATTGTCTGTAAAAAATGTATGCTATCCTCTTATTCCTTAAAAGTGAGTACTGTTAAGAATAATAAAATACTTTTTGTGAATGCCTCTGGCCTGTCTTGTGGGCTCCCGGGAGGCTGAGTCCCGGGTGCGAATTTGGGCAGCCAGATTGCATTGCTTTTATTGCTGTGGTGGCTGCAAGGGGAAGGCCCCTGGAATCTGGGGTCTGGCCCTGTTGGGCCTGGGTCTGATTTAGTCACTGATTTGGTCTGGGTCTGATTTGTCCTAGTGGATGGGAGGATACTAGGGAAGCGCAGGGAGGCTGTGGTTTCTCCAGCCTGTGGTTCACCCCTGAGGGCTCAGCAAGGCTCCTGCAAAAGCCATCTCCATTTGCTTCCTCCCAGGTGCTGAGCTTCCTCTCAGCTCTAGTTTCTGAGATATTTGGTCATCAATATTCCTGTTCATTGACAAACTTGACTAACCTGTGATTACTGATGTCATTGATTGCTGTCATCTTTGATCAGTGTTGTTGGTCATCAGTGATAGGCACCATTACTGATATTCCTTCCAGATTAATGACATGTCTGGTCATGATAGCCTGCCATCAGAGATACCTGATGACTAACAACTGATCACCAATATTTCATTAATGCCTCTTCTTAACCATGTGTCTGATCACTGATACCCACAAAATGTGGTCACCAATGTCTCCAGTGACTGTCTTTGCTCACCAGTATGCCTGATCATAGTATCTCTTTTCACCAATATGTTGATCACCAATGAGCTTTGTCACTAATGTTCTAAGTATGACCACCAGTGTGATTGATCAGTGTTTTTTCTCGAGATAGATTGATCATTCACATGTGATCTCCAACATCTCCGATCACACTGTTTCTTATCACCAGTGTTTCTTTAACAATATCCTTGATCAGTTGTTTCTGATCACCATTCTCTCTCCCCAGTCATTTGTCTGATGACCAGTGTCCCTGATCATAGGATCCTCTCCCCATCAAATTTCCTATCAATGCAGTCACTGGTGTTTCTGGTTCCCAATATCCCTGATTGCTCAACTCTGATCATCAAGATCTCTTATCACCAATGTCTCTGATGCCCAACATCAGTGATTGCTGAATCTTCTTCAAAGTCTCTGCTAACCAATGTCCCCATTTTTCAAAGTCCCTTATACCTCTGATCACTGACCTCCCTGGTCACTAATATCCTTGGTCATCAGCATCCCCAGTCACCAATGTCTCTAATCACTGAATTCTCTAATCATTGATGCCTCTGCTTACCAGTGCCCTTGATCCCTAATGGTCTGCATCTGGTTCTCTTCATCAAGATCTCTGGACGCCATGTCTCCAGTCATTGATTCTGGTCACTAATATCTCGTGTACCTTTGGCCATCAAGGACATGGACATCTTATGCTTTCCCCACTAATGCTCCCGGTCACCCACAGCTCAAGCCACCCATGCCCCTGATCAATGATTGATGATATATTTGATCAACAATGATTCTGGTTGCCAAGACCTCTGAGCACTGGCTCCTGATGGCCAGCATGTGACATGCCCCTCCCTGACTAGGTTGTGCTTGATGGACATCATCTCTTGGCCGACTCCACCGTCCCTAATGAGGAGTCACTCTGATTGTACATCTCTGGTCAGTCATGGCTTCTCTTAACCTTGGTTGTCATTATGTTTGACCATCAGGGTCTTTATTCACCAGGGGCCCTGAGGACAGGTATTTCTGATTGCTACCATCTTTGTTTGTTGATGGCTCTGATGTCCACTTGGTCCAGGAGATTTTCCTTTAATTCTTCCCAATACCATGCTGCTGACACTGGGAGGTCCCTCACTTAGAGCTGGGCAGGCCAAAGTCCCGGGAAGGTCAGCATCTTTTCCCAGCTGCCCCAGCCCATCAGGATAGACTTTGACCTCTGGACACTCTTGTCCTGGTATGCCACCAGTACTCCCTCCTGTCCTTCCCAGTGGATTTGACACTGAGTACAAATAGGAGCCAGCCTAGGGCTTGGCAGGGTAGACACGTGTCTCCTACCTGATGCATAATGGCCCTGAGCCCCCTGGCCTCCACCCTCCGTAGCTCCAGAGCAGGAGGCTTCCTCTCCTCCTGCCAGCTGTAGCCACAGTGAGGGCAGATATGGTCCTCTTTCCTATGCCCCTGGATCCTGATGGCAGGATTGTGTGTTTCTGTAATCAGGTGTTCACATGTGCATGGATGTACTGTTGAACATCTCCTGTATGCCATGCACTGTTGTAGACATGGAGTACAGCAGGGGATAAAACAAATAAGAATCTCCTTAAGGGGCTTACATTCCAGGCACGAAGCATGAATAATAACTCTACTTGGCCTCTGGAGAACCATCCTACTTGCCTGGCCCAAAATCCAGAACCCAGAGCCAGCCCTGGACCCCAGAGCTTAGAATCGAGAACCTGTAGCCTAGATCCCCAAACCAGGAGCCATAGCCCTACGCCCCAGAACTCAAGAACCAGAGCCTGAAACACAGAGCTGAGAGCCTGGACCCTTCAACCCAGAACCTGCAGCCTGGGGCTCAGAACTCAGAACATACCAAGACCTTTAAGACGGGAGCCCACATCCCAGACCTCAGAATCCAGTTCTCAGAACACAAAGCCAGAACCTGGGGCCCTGGGGGTGGAACTCCAAATCTACAACCTAGAGCTTGGAGCTCAGAACCCATAACTCCATTAAGGACATGGAGTCTTGGGTCTAGAATCTAGGTCCCAGAACCTAGAACTCCCAAATCCGAACCTAGAACTTGCCTCGGGACTCAAAGGCCAGAATCCAGACCCCTAACCCAGACTAGCCATCAAAAGAGGCCTCCGTTTCTCTTTTCCTCTCCTGGCTTATTTCCTTCCTCCTGTCAACCAGCATTTTTACAGCACACAGTGGCAGGTTCTCTCATGAGTGCTGGGAGGTGGGCAGCCAGCAGAAACAAGTGGATAAGTGGATGAAAGCATCCCTTCGCCTTGTGACACCTGCTGTAAGAGAGCAGGGGCTGTGCCTGGTCATTCTTGTGTCCCCTATGTCCCCAGTGGCTGGTGTTAGGTGCACCCCAGTCACCTGTAGACTAGATGCATTCACTTTCCCGCACATGTTCATCAGCCTCATTCGTTCTTGGTGTTAGGTGGGGAATAACACACACAGAGACTCTTGTTCCTGTGGCAAACTCCCTCTACTCACTGCCAGGAAACTCTTGGAAAGCAGGAGCTGTTTCTTTTTTCTTTCTTCCTTCCTTTTTGGAGACAGGGTCTCACTCTGTCGCCCAGGCTGGAGTGCAGAGGTACAATCATAGCTCACTGCAGCCTCTAACTTCTGGGCTCAAGCCATTCTCCCACATAGCTAAGACTATAGGTGTGCACCACCATGCCCAGCTAATTTTTTTTTTTTTTTTTGTAGAGACAGGATCTTGCTATGTTACCCCAGCTGGTCTCAAACTCCTGAGCTCAAGGGAACCGCCTGCCTCGGTCTCCTAAAGTGCTGGGATTACAGGTGTGAACCACTGCACCTGAATTGCAGGGGCTGTTTCTCACAAGGAGGCAGCATCCAGAGGTGGGGAAGCTTGGAGGATGGTGTTGAGCAGAGATCGGGCTGAGAGCCTCAGATTCAAGTCCCAGCAAGTCAATTCAGAGCAAAGAACCGAGGCTCAGGGGCTGCAGTTTACAGCTTCTCTTCCCTCCTTCATTAAACAATTCACTTCTAACAGTGATTCCTGCCTCCCCGAGTCACTCTGTATGGTAAACAGTTTGAATTTTGTGTCCACAAAGTGCCCAAGCAGGGCCAGGCATGCAAGCCGGGAGCTGCAAAAGGCCATCTTGAGCAGGTCAGGGTGCCCTCGATGATTCCCGAGGGCCTGGTGCCAGGGTGACCGAGTGGATCGGCCTTCTTCCCTCCGTTTGTACCCAGTGGGGCTGGCCAGTCCTGGACTCAGCTCGGCTTGCCCGGCCCCTTCCTCCCTGCCTCGCACAGGGACAGACACTTCCAGGCCTGGCTTTGATGTCCATTTGTAGGAAGAAATAAAGTGCCCTTTGTAATTCTTAGGGAGCAGTGCTGTTCTTTCCCATAGCATCTCCTACCCCTCTGGTGACCCAGTGCTAGGATGGGGAAGGGTCCTCAGGGCCACAGAAATGGACGCCACCCCTGGGTGATGCCTGCCATCTGCCTGACACAGGTACAGAGTCACCTGAGGAGCGGGAAAGACGAGGGACAGCAGGTGGAGGAGGTGGGTAGAGCCTAAATGAGTTCTCATACGGGACAGTTCGATTAAAACTCTGCTGGGATTTTTTTTTTAAAGGCAAAATGACAAATGATTTCAAACTTTATCTCGAAAAACTAACAAGATCAGAATAAGTCAAAACTTAGGAAAAATAAGTGAGGTGTGTGAGAGAGAAAATGTGTGTGTGTGTAAGAGGGAAATGCTTTCCGATATTAAACAAGATTCTATTATCACAATCGTTCAAACCTTGTGGTCCCGCTGTAAGAATAAACAGATCAATGTTACAGACTCAGTAAACCCCGCAACAGACCCTATTATTTACAAGATAATGGGTGATAAAGGAGACATTCTGAATCAATGCAAAGGTGGAGGGTTACCCAATCCAGTGGCGTCGGAACGACTAGTTGGTTAGCATCTCACTTGGTGAATGCTGACTGTTTTGTCTAGACAGCAGGAAAATGTGTTTGGGCAGCATGAGGTTTTACAAAATGTGAATGAGTAGCAAATGATTTCAAATTAGGAGATTCACGTAACAAGCGGTGGAAGGAGACAGGAAGGATACACAAGAGGACATCCCCAACAGCACTGGGAATCCACAGCCACTAGACATCTCGATGGGTGTTCCGTCTCACAAATGATCAGATCCATGCCCATTCCACATGGGGCACCACTTTCCCCCTCTCATCTTAGCAGACACAGAAAAGACCGGGCAGGTGTGGAGAAGCAGCCTGGAGATGCCTTGCACGGGCAGAAATAATCTAGGTTTTGCATGCTCTCCTGCCCGGCAAGCTTCCTCCTGTACATCTCACAGAAACACTAGGATACATGAAAATAAGCAAGTTGGAAAACAATATGTAAAGTGAACTCTTGTTTTTGTTTTTACAATATTTGTCTAGAGATAGAAAAACGCCTGAGAAGACGTGTACCTGGATGATGGTAGTTGTTAGTTCTGAGGTGTGATGCAGACCCGGGGCGCGGAAGGGGCTCTTTTCCCTTTATAACTGTGGGCTGTTGTTTTGATATGTTCTGAGTATATGCCACATGCGTAATTTAAAACTTAGTCATTCACAAAAACCTGTCTTCTCTGTCTTGTTCCTAGCTGGTTTCTCTCCCTGGGATGTTCTCTCATTTAGATCAGCCTGGGGAATTTCTCTTCACTCTTCAAAACCCTGATCAAGGATCCTAGGGAAGCTTTATCTGAGTTCTTTCCTTGGGGCCCTTCAGGCCTTCCTGGTCCCTAACTAAGGCCACTCAGGGTAAAGCCCCTTACAAAACACAGACCTGACTCCCCCTTGCTGTGCAGGCTCGAGCAAGTGGCTTGGCCTCTCTGATCCCTGGCTCCTCATCAGTCAAACAAGACCACATCTTTCAGGGTCATTGGAAGGATAATATGAGGAAGACAGAAGGTCTTGAAGAAACCACCCAGCAAGGACACCCTTCTAATGCCATTTTATTCCCCACTCTAGGCTCATCCTGGGTAGCCTAATGGGGGCTCTGACTGAGCCCTCAAGCCCACCTCCACTGCTAGAAGATGAGGGTGTTTGGGGACCCTGGGCAAACTGCCTGCTCTTTCTGTTCCTCCTTCTCCCACAGAACCAAGGCTGCCAGGACCAGGGGGAGTGCCAGTGGGGTGACCTAGGCTATCTGTAGGTGTTCTCATGTCTTTCTCTATCCCACCCAACTCAGGGGGGTCCTCAGAGATCATCCCTCCAGTATCACTAGGGAAACTGAAGATCAGTGGGAGCAAGGAGGGGGGAGGGTCTCACCATCTCTCCCACTGGTATGCGGGCTGAAGTTGGGGAATGGGCATCCCTGGAGAGGGGAGAGGCAGCTGCTCCCTCCCACAGCCCCATCTGTCCTTCCCTGCCCCACCCCCAGCCCACACTGCCAGGCTCCCCAGGGGACCCTGGGAAAATGCTGCCTTTGCTCCTTCTCTCTGGCCCCTGCCCTGCTAGGTCCGGCTGTTCTGATGTTCTAATGCTGTGAGGCTGGGATCCAGGTCTCCTAGGCTTTGAGGGGATGCTGGCATGGGCCCCTCCCTTTCCTCAGAATCAGGCATGAAGGGGGCTTGCTACACACACACACACACACACCCCACTGGTCCTGACACCAGCCCTATCCTGCTTCCTCACCTTGCACTGCCCAGCCTGTCCCCTCTCCATTGTGCCAGCTCCTCCTGGGCCTCCCAGCCTCCAGACTGTCTCTTCTTCCTACAGGGGCCTTTCTTAACCTCTTAATTATGAAATATTTCAGATATCCAAAAGTATAGCTAACAATATAAACAACACCACGGTAGCCTTGATACTGATTTTCTATGCTGCATCACAAACCACTACACACCTCTCCCCTTGAAACCACACGTGTTTAGTATCTCACAGTTTCCATGGGCCATGAGCCCAGATGTTGCTTGGCCCTAGCTTCTCCCCAGGACCTCACCAGGTTGCAATCCACCTACTGACCAGGGCTGGCTTCTCATCAGAGAAGGCCAGTCTTCCTAGAGGCTTGACTAGGAAAGGATCTGCATCACAGCCCCTCCAGGTTACGGGCAGAGCTCACCTCCCTGCAGCTGCAGGAATCTCGGCAGCTGACTCCTGCACAGACCGCAGCTGACAGAGGCGTCAAGAGAGCTGGTGAAGCACAGCCCGGATAACATCCCCCCACCTTGCATATGCTATTGGTGGTACACAGGTCATGTTCCTGCTCACTCTCCAGGGCACAAACTCCAGGAGTTAGAAAAGTAGGGGCAGAGTCAAGTCCCCCTGATACCCTCCCCAGCCCAGCTTAGGGAGGAAACACCACAGAGATCATGGAACCCTCATGACCCTCTTGTCCCCCTTCCCCAACTCCAGAGGTAGCCAGGGCTTCATTTTCCCATGCATGTTGTTATGCTTTTACTCTATATGTATAAATCTTGAATGCATTATCCTGCATGTTTTCTATAAGTGGTGTCACAGCGATGCTTTCAATGACTGGCTTGTGTTGCTCACTGCTGTGCTGGGGCTGCACCTCCCTGCTCACACATGGAGTCTGCTCCTTCTCACTGTAGTGTCATAGTCCCCTCAAAACTGTAACACAGTGTATTTGCTCATTCTCTTTAAGATGGACGTTTTAGTCACTCCCTTCTACCACTACCATAAACAGTGCAGCAAGGAGTGTTCTTGTCCATATGCCCATGTGTGAGGGTTTCCCTGGGGGCATAATTGCTTTATAAGTGCAATTACTGAGACAAGAGACCTTACATTCACGTCTATAAGATGCCAAAGGACCAGGTATAGTGGCTCACGCCTGTAATCCTAGCACTTTGGGAGGTCAAGGTGTGAGGATCACTTGAGGACAGGAGTTCAGGACCAACCTAGGTAACAGTGAAACCCCATCTCTACAAAAAAGAAATACAAAAAATTATCCAGGCATGGTGGTGCACATCAGTAGTCCCAGGAGGCAGAGGTGGGAGAATCACTGTGCCTGGGAGGTCAAGGCTGTAGTGGGTTGTGATTGTGTCACTGCACTCCAGGCTGAGTGACAGAATGAGACCCTGTTTGAAAAATGAAAAAAAAAGAAGGCCAAAGGATTTTCCAAATTGGTTGTTCCAATACATGTTCCCACCAGCAGGGTATAAGAATTCTAGTTGCTCCATTTCCTTGTCAACACTTGGCAATGTCAAACTGACATTTTTACCAATTTCGTGGGTATAAAATTGAATCTCATTGAGAGCTCTTTCTAGGACATGCTATGGATCCCATCCTCCCCTTGCTTTAAATTTTCTCAAGGTCTCTCCCTCCAGGATACAATTCACGCTCTGTCGCCTGGCATCTGAGTTCTGCCTGGTGCAGCCCCTGCCCCTCTCTGGGCTCTATTCCCATCATCCCCTTCGTTCCAGGTGCAGTCGAATACAGATGCTTGCTGTCTTGCCACTGAGCCACTGAGCCCAGTGCATGCTGTTGCCTTTCATGGAACCACTCCCATGTTTTAAGACTCCTGCTTTATTAAGAAATAAATCACCAAACAGGTCACCTGTGTGTTTTAAATATTCACATTGAAGACATTAATGCCTTTGGTGCATCAAAAAGACATTGCATTATAATTGCACTTATCAAATGAAAATTTCAGGGTTTAGGACAGAGTTCTCAACCTTGGTGCTGCTGACATTTGGGGCTGGATGATTCTTTGTGGTGGAGGCTGTCCTGTGCACTAGACTGGGATGTTTACCAACAGCCCTGCCTGGCCTCCATCCAGGAGATGCCAGTAGCAACTCCTCCAGTCATTGCCAAATGTCCCATGGGGAGGGAGGACTGTCCTTGTTGAGAACCATGGATTTAAGAGATGAACTCCTCATGCACCCAGGACAGAGTGGTCTGCATATGGGCACGTGATCACAGCCGTGTGATGAACACCTTCTTCCCACCTTGAAATGTCCCATGACTGAATGAGCTACTTCCCTGGGGAAGGACGTCCAGTGTCTACATCAAAGGCCCTTCATGTGTGGGAGGCCGACCCTGCTGGAACCTCCCTCTCCAAACCCTAATGAGGCATCACCTCCTCTGACCAGCCTTCCCAGACTCCCCAGACAGTGTCATCTCTCCTTCCAGTGAGTGTTGGAGCTGCATTCACACATTTGCGTGTGTCTGTTCCTTCTCCCAGGGCCTGGGGTTGGGAGTTCCCTGTGTGGGAGGACAGGGGTGATGCTGCTGAATTCAACTGTTTCTAGCCTTAACTCAGACCAGCGCAGGGAAGGATTGTGGATCGGAATTGTTGGTTGCATAGGAGCCACCCAGGTTCTTTGCTAGCAGACCTAGCACAACACAGATGTGCCTTGGGCTCCAGGGAGCAGGCCTGGCCTGGGTCACCGGAGGGCCCAGACTGAGAGAGGCGTGAGGCAGCCAGACCTCCCAGAGAGGGCTGGCAGGGGCCACGCCTTTGGAGACACAACAGTGCTATGGGGCCTCATGGAGGGCCTGTGTGCACATGTGTGACCATGTGTACACATGTGCTCACATGCATGGGGGCATGGGTGCCTGAGGATGCATGTGGAGGTTTGGGGCATCCAAGCTGACCTCCCTAAGAGCCCCAGCTTCCTGTAAGCCCCCATCTTGCTTTGTTTTCCCTCACGGATTGATGACGGCCTGCTATCATGTTAAATGTTCATGCATTATTAGTTTCTTGTATCTTCCCTGACTGCATGTCAGCATCATAAGGGCAAGGCTCTGTCCAGTGCCTTCACTGACATATGGATCCCTGGATCAAGGGGAGTGCCTGGCATATGGCATATGTATGGACAAGTACTCAGGAAACATAGGGTGTATGGGTGGCTGGGTGTGTGGGTGGCTGGGTGGTAGGTGGCTGGGTGGGTGGGTGGCTGGATGGCTGGGTGGCTGGGTGTGTGAGTGTGTGGGTGGTGGGTGGCTGGGTGTGTGGGTGGCTGGGTGACTGGATCGTTGAGTGGCTGGGTGGCTGGGTGTGTGGGTGACTGGATGGCTGGGTGTATGGGTGGCTAGGTGGTGGATGGCTATGTGTGTGGGTGGCTGGGTGGCTAGGTGTGTGGGTGGCTGGTTGGCTGGATAGCTGGATGGCTGGGTGGCTGGGTGTATGGGTGGCTAGGTGGTGGATGGCTGTGTGTGTGGGTGGCTGGCTGTGTGGGTGGCTGGGTGGCTCGATAGCTGGATGACTGGGTGGCTGGGTGTATGGGTGGCTAGGTGGTGGATGGCTGTGTGTGTGGGTGGCTGGGTGGGTGGATGGATGGCTATGTTTATGGGAAGATGGGTGGCTATCTGCTGGCATAGATGTGTGCATATGTATGCAGCCCTTTACTCTGGAAGATACTTCAGGCTTTTTTGTTCTGTACTCCAGAAAGACCCAGGAAACTCCACACCCCAGAAACTGCAGAGCCCCATGGGTGAACAGAGAGGCTCTGGGGGTTGGATCCTCCTGGAGGCTTTGAATAACTAAGGAACACAGTGTTACAGCCCTGCTTAGGACTGTTCCATGCCAGGTGGGCCGGGGGCTGGGACTCTGGAAGAGGGGAGCTGCCCTAACTGGCTGAAGCAACTTGGAACTCAGAGGGCCCCACAAATGATCCCTTCACTCAGGCAATTAACCCCTACTTGGAGCTAGATCTGAGCCTCCAGAGACCACATGGTCCACCACCAGGAAGGGTGTACCTGGGTTGGGATGGCAGGGAAGGAATTCAGGAAACCCAGTGAGCACTTGTCATCACTGGCTTGCAGGACTGGGCAGGAAGGCTGCCTGGAGGTCTGACAGCTGAGCTGAGATCTCCCAAGCACCACTGGGGAGGATGTGATCTCCCGGGCCCTTCCACAGTTGCATAGCCCACTGCCTGCCCACCCCATTGGCCACCAATCTGCATGTGAGTCTGCTCATGGGCCTGTCTGCCTACCACTGGCTCACCAGCCAGACTCCCTTTTCATCTGTCTCTGCCCAGCCGTTATCAACACTGCCAGGAGACCAGCACACACACACACACACACACACACACACACACACACACACACACACACACATAGCTCCTTCTCCGTTCTAAGCTCCTCACAGTAACCCTGTGAGGGGACCATCATTACTGCCCTTTTACAGATGAGATGAGGACTCTGGGGCACAGCCAGTTTATGTGACTCCCCCAAGGACACATGCCTGGAGAGTGGCAGTGCTGGGGTTTGAACCCAGGCTATCTCACCTGACAGGCTGAGCCCTTCCCCACTGTGGGATCTGCCCCTCGACCTGTCTGTCTGTCCATCCGCCCATCTACTCTACTCCCTTCACTCACCTGCCACTCTGTCCATCCAGCCGCCCGTCCATCCATCCATCGCTGTCACCCATCCATCCTGGAGCTAATGCAGTTAGGGGACTAGGGGCCCTAAGGGGAGAGAAGGCCCCAAACTGCCCATCTGGCCAGGCCAGGGTGGCCTGGGGGTGGAGTGGGCTGCCCGGGTCGGGCAGGGCTGCAGGGGGCTGGAGGGAATTAGCTGAGTGACTGCCAGGATCATCTAATTAGGAACTCTAGTGATAAGCAGATAGGATCGGGGGTGATTAGAATCCTTTTAAAAAGCCACTCCATTAATTACAGAGACAGAGAGGGGCCTCTGGCTGCTCCGAATACCAATTGGCTGCTTAATCGGCTCCATCAGCGCCCCAGGGAGACCTTCCTGGTACTGCTGTGTGACCTTGGGTGTGCCCTGCCCTCTCTGGGCCTCTTCTGGTCACTGAAGGTCCTCCCTCTTTCCCTGGCCATGGCTCAGGGTTGACTTTAGGGCAGGCCCGAGACCAGGGACATAGGGCATCAGAGGCCAAGAAAGCCAGATTGGCTCCCCAGAGAGGGCGAAGCCCTGAAAGCACCCACTGGTGAATGGGGACAGAGAGACTTGAAGAGGGAAGGTGACCTAACAGCAGTGAGGATGGAGAGTGTGGGGCCTAGATGCATGCTCATGACTGTGTGTCCCTGTCCCTCCAGCAGGCCCTGTGGGGGCCTCAGAGCTGCTGCTGCTCTCTTCAGCTCCCAAAAACCAGTGTGGAAGACTAGCCTGAACCCTTAGCAGAAGGGAAACTCCTCTGCCTGCTGCCTGGCTCCACGGTCCCCAACTCCCTTTATGGGGAGCTCCCCACAGGGACCTCCATCTCAAGGTGCCATTGATGGTGAGGTATGGGATCTGCTCCCAGGTGACACTCCTGTTCCCGTAAGTCCTACTGAGTGGTCTCTTCCGTGTGCTCTAAGACAGCCCTGAATGGGCAGCAGTGAGGGGGTCTCTAGCCCTGTCTCCATCCTGGCTGACTCCCACAGACACGACCCAGGAACAGGGGTCAGAACAGGGCAGTGGTTGGAAGAAAGTTCCCCTGGGAGTACAACACAGACCAATGCCAGGGTCTCCAGCAAGGCAGGGAGGGCCGGGACAGGGAAGCAGCTACAGGAGTCTCAGATGCCTTGTCATGCTGGGTCCCTTGTCTCTTAACATTGTTGTCACCCCCCCCACTGTCCTGATTCCATTGTCATGGAAACCTCAGGCTTCACCTTTACAATGTCAGGCCACCAACACCCTTAACAGTGTCACCATCACCATCAATACCACAGCACCCCGTCCCCATCTCCTCCACTGCCACTATCCCTATCATCTCTGTCACTGTGACCATGGAGCTCTCCAACATGTCAGCATTGCATCACCACCACATCACTGTCACCACACCTCCTCCACCTCCATCTCCACCCACCATCCCACTGGTGACATCACCTGATCAGCACTGCCATCTCTGCTGCCAGCACTGTCGCCACTCCCACTGCCTTTGCCATTACCACCATCATTGCCTCCTCTGTCACTGCCACCATCACCACCACTGTCTACCTCAGCCAGACCCACAAGCCTCTAACTAGATTGCCACTGCCACCATAGCCACCACCGCCCCTCCAGTGCCTCCCTGGTGTCACCATCTGCTTCCTCACTGCTGTCCTCACATCCACATCCATCACAGCCACCACCTTCATCCAAGCCGCCATCACCCTCACAGTACATAGCCCTATGTGTACCAAGGAGGGCATTTACTACAGGCTGCACCCTGAATGGTCTGTGAGCAACAGTTAGGGAACAAGGAATCGAGATGCTCACCCACAGCTCCGAGGTGGGCGGCTCTCTCGAGCTTGCCTGGGAGCTGCCAGGGAGCTCATGGTGTTCCTGGGAGCCCCCATCGATGCCTCAGCCTGTGGCTCAGAAGCAAGGGCTTTGAAGAAGATTGCCCCGAACTGTTGCAAAGCTTGCCATTGTCACCTGCCTGCAACGGCCTCTCTTTTCCGTTCTCCAAATCTCGTGCGTTGGCCAGCTCTAACCTGGAACTATACCAGTGACGGGATTCTTGAAAATCCCTCAGATGTCTCTAGGATGCAAGGAGACCATAGAAGAGGTTGGTGTGATGTCAAGTTACCAACGGAAAGTACAGAGCCCCACACATCAGTGCCATCACCATCGCCACCCCATCGGCACTCACACCACCATTTCCACCACGTGTCCTTCCTACCACTCAGTAGCAACCCCCCACCATTGCCTCTTCCACAACCACCCTCGCCACCATCGTCCATTAATAGCACAATTCCTGCCTCCTACCCCATCACCACCACTGGTGTCCTGGCACCAGTAGCACCAACACTGCTCCCAGCAGGGCCATTATTACCACCCCCTGCCCCCTCACCCCGACCCCTGCTGTCAGACCCACCATTAGCATCTGGCTTATGTTGGAGAACCGCTCACTCCCTCTACCCTATGAGAATTTCACGCCTCTCTCGCTGTTGCCCTGAGACTTGCAGAACCTTCCTGGAGGAGTCGTTCCCCACCCCACAGACACTGGCTTTGACCACGGGATGCAGCAAGAGTGCTACGTACGCATCATGGCCCAACAGAAGCTTGCAGAGGCAGCCCAGGCTCCTGCTAGCTCCGAGCAGCACCCTCAGGAGAGCGGGGTGTGTGGGTCAGAGCTGCTCCTTCAGCCTGGGGCCCACAGTGAAAAGTTATGGGAGGCAGGGCCCTGGCAGCTGCCTGTAGGCACTGGCTGGTGAAGTGCGGGGAACTAGATGTTTGTCATAAGCCACTGAGATCTGGAAGCTGTCACTGTGGCAGAGCCAAACAAGACGCAACTTCTGCTACCTCCACCATCTTCACCTTCATTATCACCATTATTGTCACCACTGCCAACCACACCCATGGCTCCACTAGGAGCCATTCCCATCACCTCCTCATCATACCTGCACCATCTCTGCCACCCACAACACAGGCTCAACATTACCATCTCCTCAGCATGACCATCCCCCCCCGCCACCGCAATTACTCTCCAGCACAAGCCTTGCTGCTGTCACCACCAGCATCACCATCACCGTGATCAACTCCACTTTAACCCACAATTACTGTCCCCCCCACCCCCACTGTGACCTCTACCTACACACCAACACTGCTACCATGGTCACCTCTACTATTTAATGACACCTTATCTATCTCCATGGACACCCACCGTGCCTCTCCCCACCGGCACCACAGTCAACAGCGGCACCACTCCCACTGCCACCACCACCATGGAGAACTGTGCAGGGCAAGCATCTTTCCCCCACCTCAATGGACAAGCCTGCCAGGGACAGCAGGTGCTAACTGGTAACAGAGACATAGTGACAAAAATCCAGCCACAGAGATACAGAACCAGGTTTATCTGTAGCTACACCCAGTGGAGAAGTTCTGCTCTTCAACTCCTCTGCTAAGCCACATGTGTCAGCAGGTGTGGGTGGTGGATGCCTGGCATGGGGGAGGGGTGTCATGCTCTTGATAAGCTGCATGGGGAGACAGCGATGGTCACTGGAGGCTGGGTTCGCAAAGTGTCTTTACAGTCTCCATCCCTCCTGGAATTTGGGATTGGTTAGAACATACTGTCCCCTGCTAGGAGCCTGAAAGCTAGCGGCTGTGATCATTGAAAGAAAAGAGAAAGAGAGAAGAAGGATAATAGAAAGGGATAAAGACTAGAAGAAGGAAGAGGAGAAAGAAGGGAGGAATGAAAGAAGAAAGAAGGAAGGAAAAAAGCCAAGACTGAAGAAGGGAGGGAAGGGAGAGAAAGGCAAAAGGAGGGAGGGAGGAATAGAGGGAGGGAGGGAAGGAGGGAGGGAGGGAAGGAGGGAGGGAGGGAAGGAGGGAGGGAGGAAGGAAGGGAAGGAGGAAGGAAGGGAGGGAGGAAGGAAGGGAGGGAGGAAGGAAGAGAGGAAGGGAGGAAGAGAGGAAGGGAGGGAGGAAGGGAGGAAAAGAGGGAGAGAGGGAGGGAGGGAAGAATGGAGGGAGGAAGGGAGGGAGGAAGGGAGGGAAGGAAGGCAGGCTATCTTTAGTTGACTTTAGGATCTTCATTGGTGTGATTAGTATGTAGTTTAGCATAGTTTTGATCTTAACTGGAGCTGGGTGACATGAAGGTAGAAATAGACATTAATCAGTATTGTGAATTGCTGTTTCTATATATAATCCATCCAACACAAGAACAAGAATTAAAGGAATATAAACGCCTAAGAACATTTGGTTACCCCACTCACCTGATTCATTTTCCAGGGCTGTTACAAATTATTACATACTGGGTAGCTTAATACAAAAGAAATCTCTTTCCCCCAGTTCTGGAGGCCGGAGGTCTGAAATCGAGGTGCCAGTGGGGCTGTACTCCCTCTGGAGGCTGCAGGGAGGGCCCTCCTGGCCCCCAGCATCTGGCTGCATCCCTGCAGCTGCAGCACCCCGTCAGTGTCCACCCCCTTTGAGGACACGTCACTGGATTTAGGGCCCACTCAGATAATCCAGGATGATCTCATCTCGACATCCTTAATTTAATTACATCCCAAAAGATCCCTTTTCCAAATAAACTCACATTCAGAGGTTCCAAGGATTAGGATGGGAACATATCTTTTTTGGGGCCACTATCCAACCCACCGTACTCAGTAATCAATATTTATCATCATTCCCTATTTTTCTTACCAGAATTGAGTGGAACACTTCTTTGGATTTGCTGTCCACTGCAGCCTTGGAGCCTTGGCTCTGCTTTTACACCTCCTCCCTGACTGACTCCCTGTGTGACCTTGAGCACCGCGTGTCTCTGAGCCTCACTCATCTGACAAGTGTTTACCCATGAACCTTGTGTGCCAGCCACTGTCCTACACCGGACAGACTTTCCTGCCTTTGTGGAGCTTACTGTGGAGGACCTGGCCAGATAATAGGCACGAGAAAAGCAGACTCTTGTACCCACCCCAGCCTGCCTGACCCCCATCTCAGCCTCCTCTCGTCTTAGCTGCCACCCAGCCATCAGCCGAGTGGACACACCAGGAGGTCCTTGCTCGTCTCCCCCACCACGGCCATGAACCTTTGTCACCCACCAAGGCTGGGATCCCATGGCCGATCCTGCCTGTGCCCTTTGGTTCCCAGGGCTCAGCCCATACTGCCTGGGTCACAGGACGTCCCATTCCGGCCCACCATGGTGGCTGCCTCTCCAGCAGGGGCAAGCCCAGCTTTGCCTGATGCAGAGCTGGGGGCAGGGGTTTGCCACACCCCGGGAGCTGATGTCACAAAGGGAGTTCTGAAGGGCAGCCCACCCAGGCCTGGCCCCACAGCTGCAGTGTCCCTCCCCTCTCCCACCCCTCTCAGTGGGGGCCTCTCCAGTCCCTGAGAACTGTTACTATGAAAAGGTGAATTCCTGGGCAGAATCTCGCCCAGAGCCTGCAGAGTCCAGCCAGAACCCTGCTGAAGGGCCCCAGACCAGCGGCCACCTCTCCCCTGTCCATTTGACCAGTTGGGTCGCTGTGCCCACCTGGCCTCTACGTCCCCTCTTCTTTCACCCACATCCCCGGCCATGGCTAACTACTACGAAGTGCTGGGCGTGCAGGCCAGCGCCTCCCAGGAGGACATCAAGAAGGCCTACCGCAAGCTGGCCCTTCGCTGGCACCCCGACAAGAATCCCAACAACAAGGAGGAGGCGGAGAAGAAGTTCAAGCAGGTGTCTGAGGCCTATGAGGTCCTGTCTGACTCCAAAAAGCGCTCCCTGTACGACTGTGCGGGCTGTGACAGCTGGCAGGCCGCTGGTGGGGCCAGCACACCCTACAGCAGCCCCTTCTACACCGGCTACACCTTCCGTAACCCTGAGGACATCTTCCGGGAGTTTTTTGGTGGCCTGGACCCCTTCTCCTTTGACTTCCAGGACAGCCCATTCAACAGTGACTGCAGTGGCCGGGGCCATGGCCTGCCGGGGGCCTTCTCCACAGGCTTTGGAGAGTTCCCGGCCTTCATGGAAGCCTTCTCATCCTTCAACACGCTGGGCCGCAGTGGGGGCAGCCACACCACCTTCTCATCCACCTCCTTCAGGGGCTGTGGCCCTGGCAGCTCCGGGTTCAAGTCTGTGATGTCGTCTACCGAGATGATCAATGGCCACAAGATCACTACCAGGCGCATTGTGGAGAATGGGCAGGAGCGCGTGGAGGTGGAGGAGAACGGGCAGCTCAAGTCAGTGACCGTGAATGGCAAGGAGCAGCTCAAATGGGTGGATGGCAAGTAGGCGCCAGGCACCAGGCCCTGCCTTCCCACCACCGCCACCGAGCACAGGGCAGCAGACACACGGGGCCGCAGACATAGGCCTATGGTTAATAAATGTGCCAAGTGAGTTCATGGAACAGCTTGGCTCAGCTTTGTGGGGGCATGGGGCTGGCTTTAGCCTAGTGGGCATGAAGGAGGGTGTGGGTGCTGCCTCCAGGGCCTGGGCTGTTTCTGCCAGGAAGCCAGGGGTGGTTCTGCAGGGGGATCTGTCATCTTTTCCGTGCCCACCATCTGGGTTGATAAATAACGTGGCTGCCCTGTCCTGATGACCTGAAACCCAATCTTGACCCCATCTATTGCTGGCCCCTGCCATCTGCATAGGCCTTGCTGTTTCAGCTCTTAGCCTTCTCCCTTCTACTCACCCTCATGGGTTCTTCTGGGACAGCTGTGCCAAATCCATGTTCAATTGCATTGCCTGGTGACTTTAAACCTTCCACGGCTCTCCCTGCTCTAAGCATAAGGGCTACATGACTTATTCTCACCACGAGGTCCTGGTGGCCTGGGCCTGCCCACCTGCCCCCCGGCCCTCCCTCTCTGACCTCCCACCATGTGGGCCTCCCAGGTTCTTCCACTGCATCACACAACCTGCAGCTCCTGGGCCTTTGGACAGGCCGTGCTCCCAGGCGAGTGCCCACTCATCTCAGGCCTGGCACCCATGGGTGGGGGCAGACTGCCAGGGAGCAAGTCCCAGCCATGTGGAACGAGAGCTTTCCCCAGGTCAGAGCCAGGCTGACCCCTTGCAGTGTGAGTGACTCCCCATCATGGGAGGGTGCTGATGCTAAAAAAGAAAAAAAGAAAGGGGACGCTGTTCTGATGACCTGAGTCCTAGCGAGTGCCAATCTTTAAAAATTATGTATTTTAAAATATTTTACTTTGAGGCTGAGCACGGTGGCTCATGCCTATGATCCCAGCACTTTGGGAGGGCGAGGTAGGCAGATCATGAGTCAGGAGTTCGAGACCAGCCTGGCCAACCTGGTGTAACCCTGTCTGTACTAAAAAAAAAAAAATATATATATATATATACAAAAATTAGCCAGGCATGGTGGCGAGCACCTGTAATCACAGCTACTCTGGAGGCTGAGGCAGGAGAATTGTTTAAACCCAGAGGGTGGAGGTTGTGGTGAGCTGCGAGACAGAGCAAGACTCCATCTGGGAAAAAAAAGTAACCTTTTTACTTTGAAACAATCTCAAACTCACAGGTGTGTCAGGCACTGTTAATTGTATGCAATTCCAGAAATATTGATTGAGCACCTGTTAGACACTGGGAATACAGCAAGGCACGGAACAGGCAGACCCTACCCTCATGCAGTTAGGATTCTGGTTGAGGGAGACACATGAAAACAGGTGTGCAGAACATGGTTCCTGCTAGTAATGAACACCGGAGAGGAAAGGGTTAGGTGAGCTGACAGACAGGGGCTCGGGGACTGGCCTTCACTTCTGAGGAGGTGACATCTGTCGGGAACTGGAATGAAGGTGAGGCGCTGGACCGTGAAGCCATCTGGGGGGAAAGTGTTCTGGGCAGAGGGAACAGCAAGTGCAGAAGCCTGGGGCAGGAATAGGTCTGCCCTTCGTGGAGAACCGCAGGGAGGCCATGTGTGGTTTCACTGAATGCCCACAACTCTTCCAGACAGGGGTCACTGATCCCACGTTATCCAAGAGGAAACTGAGGTCTGGAGAGGAGAGACTCACACAGCTGGCAACTGGCTGTGCTCAAATATCACCCCAGGTGTTTACTCCAAATGACCTGCCTTTAACGTGGTGGCGATGTCAATGCTGATGCTGGCAGTGGCGGCCCAGGGAGATGCGTTGCAGTGCTGGAGAGCATCTGGTAAAGGACCAGCAGGTGGCAATTCCTTTTTCCTTGGGGCTGCAGTAGAAGCCAAAAAAGGAGGTGATTCCAGGTTTGAGGGTTAAAGGATGGGCAGTGCCAGGGTGTCTAGCTCCCTGGCTGGGGCAGGGTGGTGTGGCATGACCACAAAAGGTGCCCTGAGCACCCACTGGACTAAGACCTGGTCAGATTTTGCTCACTTCTGCATCCCAACTCCCAGCCCAGCTCCTGGCATCTAGTAGGTGCCCAATAAATGATATGAAATGAAAGAAGGGAGGAGCATTGTGCCAGGGAGAGCAGGAACCAAGGAGTGTACTCAGAGGACACCCTCTGGAGCTCAGGACAAAAGAAGACACTGGAAGGCCAGAGGGGAGGGTGGGGCTTGGTCACATGAGGGGAACACCCAGTGAAGGAGTCATCCCAGTTCCAGATGCAGAGCCTGTCTGAGGGGCACTCAGGAGGGTCAGAGAGGCTGGACTGGCTGCTTTTCTCCAAGGGGAACCTGCTGAAGGCATCTTCCAGGAGGCCAGGGGCATGACCCCAAGATCTTTAGGGCTTGAAAAGTCCCCTTGGCTTCTGTAAGTGTCCTGGCCTAGAGAACACAGTTGGCAACCTGGTGCTATGGCTGCAGCTGAGGCTCAGGCCCGGTTGTGGCTCCCTGGGTTCTGCCTCTGAGAGCCCCTGGGACAAGCCGGCAGCTGGAGGTCCCCTAACTATGTTACAGGCAGAGCAGGGGACCCTTTGACACACAGAAGGTCGAACCCCAGCTCCCAGTCCTTCCTTGGGACTAACTTCATCAAAGCCCCCACTATAGCATTAACCACCTGACCTCTGTCCCTGCCGACTTGCTAATTTCACCAATTACTGGCCAGTTGTGGCTGCGTCAAGTGGGCCTGCTTAGCACAGGCAGCTGCTGAGCAAATCCAATTACAGCCCGGGAGCCCAGGCGACCACCGTCCTGGTGCTGGCTGCACAGCAGAAACCTGGGTGCTTGCAAGGCACCAGTCCCCAAGCACCCCAAGACCACTGGCTGGGGCCACCCTCTTTGCTTCTTTCCTGTTGCCTAGCCTCACACCTGGAGCTGGCGCCTGCTCTCTCCAACACAGACCCGTCACAACATAACCTGCTTAAATGCTTCTGAGTCCCCAGCCACTGACCCGCCCAGCTGAGCATGTGACACCTCGTGGAATCCCTGTGCCCACCCTTAGCCCCACTTTACAGATATAGAAGCTGAAACCTGGCAGCTTAGTGGCTTCCTCAGAAGCACTTCTAGGGTAGAGTCCAAGTGGTGGCATGTACAGCCCCAGGCTTGGCCACAGCACTGCCGGCTATGGGCCCTTTCTGCGGCCGAATCACGCTGGTGTTCCTGCCTGGGCCACCCTTTGCATCTCCTTCACTTGTTAGGCATCCCTGGAGGCCCCCACTCTGTGTCACTTTCTTGGGGAGGTCTTGCCAAGCTATGCTGCTGCAGCAGGCCATTCGGGCCTTTCCCGGAGCCTGTTTTAGGCCGGGCTGTGTTGGGAGGCTCAGTCTGAAGCAGTAAGAGTCCTGGGAGCCACTTTCAGAGCCAGGCTGGGGCAGTGAGGGGTTCAGGAGCCATTTTCAGAGCCAGGCTGGGGCAGTGAGGGGTTCAGGAGCCACTTTCAGAGCCAGGCTGGGGCAGTGAGGGGTTCAGGAACCATCTAGAGCCGGGCTGGGCTGGCCACACAGTGTCAGCGGCACACTGAGTGGAGTCCGCTGAGGCTGTTCTGCTGCCCCAGGCCCCATCCCAGGGTGGATTCTCCAAGCGGGGCTCAGCAGAGGGCAGGGGACACTGCAGAGTGTAGCTCACGGAGAAGATGATGGCTGTGTCCCTGTCAGGTCATCGTCACCCACTGGATCACGCCAGCCTCCTCCCCGGCCTCCTCCCTTCCCTCTTCCATCCCATTTTCATCCCAGCAGCCAGAAGAATCCTGTGAAAGCCTGAGTTTTGCAGAACGCTCAGGAGTGGGAGCCACAGTCCCTATGGCAGCCCACAGCCCCTTCCCCAGCCAGATCAGTGACCCCCCTGGCTTCCCCATCGCTCTTCACTCCAGACCCCTGGCCTCCTCCCCGTCCTGCTCACACCAGTGCGTTCCCGCACA